TCGACTGAGCCGCTCGGCCATGATCGGGAGCTGTACGGGCTATTGTGAATAGCCCGTACAGCACCCCTTCGGTTCTACTGAACCGAAGGGGCCCTGGGGCCGAAGCTAGCCGAAGGATCGGCCGAAGCTACGGCCAGATCCTTCGGCAGCTTCGTGAATAGACCCCTAAGTACCTGTTTAAGAAGAAGACGGCTGAGAGCTTTGAGCGAGTAATTGCTTGTTTTTAACCTAGACACAAACGAGCAGTTAACCCTTGCTGTGATGGGGTAGCCACATTGCAAGGGTTAGTAAAAAAAAATCCTGGAGTTCTGCTTTAATAATATATTCAATTTTAGCATCTGGTTTTTGCTGTTAAAATATTACTTAGTTTTCCATAAGTTACAGTCCTAGCGATTGTGTTCTACTTGGTTTACTTGGGACTATCAATATCCAGAGAGATTTGGGGAGTTTTGTCCATAATATGCTAGGTTAAAGCCATGTATATTGTTAATAATATATATATATCATACAGTACTGGGGGGAATTCATCAAAACTGGAGAAGACAGAATTAGGAGCAGTTGCCTATGGCAACTAATCAACTTCTCTCTTCAGTTTGTTCAGTTAAGCTTTGAAAGAGAAAGATAAAAGCTGATTGGTTGCCTTGGACAACTGCTCCAGATTCTGTCTGCTCCGGTTTTGATAAATTCCCCTCACTGTAGTGACATGTTCAAAGTGTGACTTTTGCACCAAAATGAATGCTATTCTAGTCGATTTTTTTACCATTCTAGTGAAAGTGAATCATCGCACCCCAAAGATGAAACACGCAGAGACAAAAGCCTTCTATTGCGCGCTGTTTCTGAAGGAGACACAAAGTTATTAATGAGACTTCTCAGAAATATTAAAGACAGGTCCCGTAGATATTCCAAGACTGTTGCTCAAGGTAATAACAATGAAATCACATTTAATTTACCAATCTAATTTTCGGGAAAATAGTATAACTGTTTTGGTGTAGTGCACACAATACAGTAAATAAAAAATGTGCATGCTTGTTATTTGTGAAAAGTTGAAATAAGCCATACAAAAATAAGAACATTGGGTCCAGCAGCAGGTAAAGTTGTCTCTTCTAAGCTAGTATGTGAGGTGCGATCAGCCCAATATGATCATATCACTTACTGATGTTTAGCCAGTATGAAACTATATTGGCCTACAACATGGCAGGTGTAGGTTGTAGGCAAGATTTTGTCTGCATGTCTGCTACGGAGGGCCAATCATCACACAAATACATACAGTATGTCATATGACAAATCATACATTTCTCTGGCTTTGCACTGCACTTCTACAACAGTAAAAGGACCATCAGAGCAAGGCTACCCAACTATGGGGGTTATTCACAAAGCTAGCCGAAGGATCAGCCGTAGCTCCGCTGATCTGTCATTGCAAGTGGCTGGAGCCAGCCGTGAGATGACGGCTGGCCCCGCCCAGCTGTCAGTAGCAGGCTTTTGGCCCTCTTCTGCTATTACCTTGGCTGAAATCAGCTGTACAAGCCTGAAGTGAATAGCCGAACAGCATTCGGCTCACTTCGGGTCAGTTATTCACATGGCTGCCTTTGGCAGCTTTGTGAAAAAAACCTTGTAAGTTTTTATACCGGTATGTCCCAATGTCTTCACTATGGTAAACCCCGCTATCTCTTAGCAATGTGTTGCCACAGATTTGAAATGCCATATCATACAAATGTGACATCTATATGAACTAGAGTTACTATTCCATATTGGTAGGAAAGCCAGTCCATACAAAGGTGCTTGAAACAAGTTTTTTGTTAATCAGATTGTAAAGAATGGATGGCAGTTATGCTCTTATTCAGTAAAACAGTAAAAGGAGCAAAATCCATATCATGCTTTAAAATTCCTATATTGGTCTGACTTCAGTTAATTCCTTTTGGTTGCAACGGGTTAGTGCACTTTGCTGCATCCCTATTCTCTCACAACTGACTGATGTCTTTGAAGGATTAAAACTGAACAACACTAGCTACCTATAATGCAGAGATATATGATAGCTATCTGATCTCTTTATAGAACGGAGTGCATTTACTTTTACTTTTTTTGTTTTAAATGGAAGTATCGATTAGGTTTGCTTTATCAGTTAAAACTGGACATTGGATGGTGACTGAACACTGGACCATTAGCCACTTTTAAGAGCAGTTGCATGAATATGTGCAACTGTAGTGCCCCGTTGTGAATGTTAATGCAGTGGGAAAGTGTTAGTTCAGAGCACTTCTGGCAACATATTTTTGGAAAGGAAAGAAGGGGAGGGGCGTCATGTTCAGCACTTCCCCCAAGACTATTTGGTTTGACCTTTGATGTCTGCTGCTACATACTGTATACTACATGCTATGCAATAAGCAGTCTTCCCTTGTCTCTCAAAACCTCAAGACAACTCCTCTAGGCAATAAGCACATTTGTTAATTAGTTTCTTTTTTCTATTGCAAATTTCAGTCTACGTACGCTCTAGTCTATAGAGACCTGCCTGTGACAGACACTTCTCAGTCTGCACAGTGCACACAACTATCACTTGCAAATGAACCCACCTTGCCCTAAGTGGGGTGACTCCCTAAATTTAGTTCTGCCGGACTGTATCCAGTCTAGCTAATTTGTGCTAGTCTGTGCTTATTTGGTTTCTTCTAAGCACAATTTTTTTTATTGTTTGCATCTGCCTGCTGCCGGGTTTGACCTTGCCACAGAGCAGAGCATCCAATAATGGGGTGTTATGAATAGATGTGCCTCCCTAACCAATCACTAGGTGGTTCATGGCCAGTGGTGTATGCTGAGGGAGGACATAAATATTCAGGGCTGACCTTGTGAGTGTCTCTTTCCCCACTGGGCCTTCTGCGTAGGGAAGGGTGCGTAAAGTCATATGCTGTCTGACCAGGCCTGCATCCTACAGGTGGTCATGTATGGACCCCTTCAGGGTCCGAATCCGTTCCTGGGATGGAGAACCAAGGAGGAACTTCATCTGCTGGAGGTGCCATGGAAGCCAGGATGGGCTTGCACCTCGCAGGAAGTCTGGTGTCTCATATAGGGAATGGTTTGCTATGTCTCCTGACCAGCAAAGGTTCTACAATACACAGTGTTACTGCAATCAATTTAAAGGCCCTCTGCACTGTGACACTGGGAAGTGATTCTGTACTGTCCTAGATATTTGTAGCCCTTTACCCTCTCTCCAATTGAGTTGCTTATAGAAAAAAATGAAATTAAATATCCTTAAAGTGAGTGGAACCCAACTTTACATTCACATCTCGCAACCAACAAAGTGTCATACATCTCGCAACATAAGCATTCATTTCTGAGGTGAAATGTCATCCCACCCTGCCTCATATTTAATGCATTTTCAGCTATGGGTAGCTATGGGCTACCTACTGTGCAAGTGATTTTGACTTACCACTGGAATTTTTGTAATGTGACTGGTTATTACAAGTAACAATCCAAATACACAATAAAATAACAGCGATAAGACCTGCGCTGTCAGGTCATAAAATGATAACGCTTGTGTTTTATTTCAGATTATCTCTTGAAAAAACTAACAGCAAAGGACACCGGGAAAACCTGTTTGATGAAAGCATTACTGAATATAAACAGCAACACTCCAGAAATAACGCGTATCCTGATTTCGTTTTCTGAAAATAATGGATTTTGGGACCGATTTATTAATGCTGAATACACAGAGGAAAATTATAAGGGTAATTTAAAGTCCATCTGCCTTTATGGTAACTTATTGCGGTTATGTTTAGGTGTGAATCGTTATACTTCTTTTCCACACAATGTTCTGCATGGGGATAAGTACCGTGTAATGAACAAACTACCAAGATTAGGGTAAGGTAATGTAAGGAGTGAGCGTACAGATTCTCTTGTGATAAAGGCAGAATGTTGATTTAGCTATAGCACACAGTATAACTGAAGTCTCCTTCATCCTTTTGTCCATGTATGAAAGCACCTGGTCATGAGACTTAAAGGGTTATTCACAAAAGGGTGAAGAGTTTGGAGAAGGCAGGAGAAGTGAACAATCTAGGACAACATAGCTGATCTGGAAAGTGAGCTGAATTGGGAAATGTTTCCAAATCAGCTATTTTGGCCTAGATTGTTCACTTCTCCTGCCTTCTCCTAACTCTTCACCCTTTTGTGAATAACCCCGTTAGACTTTTAGTACACATGGGAGTTTTGACACTACCCATTTAAATAAAGTGTCATACGAATATTATGTAGAAACAACATGTTACCTGAACCAAGCAACACCCACACAGCCCCATACCATTAGTTTGAGATGCCCTGGTGGGTGGAGGATGTCATCCTAATGTACACACCAGAAATAGATCGCGCCAAGGTTAAGTAACCTTCTTAATGCATATGACTGTGCTCAGGGATGGTGATTGGCTATTCAGACACCAAGTTCTGGATTTTGGGAAGCATCTAATAATGCATGCCCCCCATACACAGAAGTATGTACTAAGCAGGTAGCTTCTAGGAGCTAATACCATGCTGTGTTGTGACAAAATAATAAGAGAAGCACTCTTGGTAAATGGTAAGGGTTGACATTACTATAAGAGATAGGTATTTATCTGTAGAATCCATTTTTACACCATTTTTAGTTGCTTTAGACATTTTTTTAAATATATAAAAACAAATTTTAGTCATGTAAATATAAAATATAGCATATTAATGTTTTATATTTACATGACTAAAATGTATTTATACTCCAATGAAGCACAGATCATGCTTCAATTGCTTCTAAACAAAGATGTTTGATGTTAGCATACAAACCATCTCTATGGGGGTTATTCACAAAGCTGCCATAGGCAGCCGAGTGAATAACCGACCCGAAGTGAAGTGAGCCAAACGCTTTTTGGCTATTCACTTCAGGCTTGTATGGCTGATTTCAGCCGTACACCGACTAAAATCAGCCGTACATCTGCTTGCTGCAGCTGGCCGAACATGCTCCGCATGTTCAGCCGAATCAAATTGCAGAAGGAGTTCAACTCAGCTAATCCAACATTTGGATCGGCTGAGCCGAACCTCCGGCAGGCTACTGGCTGCTGTTCGGCCTATTCTCATAGATGCCGAACAGCAGTGAGTGAATAGCGGCATTCGGCTCGGCTTCTCTGCTCAGTACCTTCTGTGTTACCGAGCAGAATAGAAAAACAGTTTTAAAAAGTAGAAAATAAATAGAAAACAGTTGGGCTGCTCACTGCTAGCTCCGCCCAACTGTTTTCTATTGGCCGGGACCAGCTGTCATTACAATGAGAGCTTGTCGGAGTCGGCGGGGATATGAAATCTGCTCAGCTAAGCTCTCATCCTAATGACAGGATAGCATCCCCTGGTTACTTAGTAACCAGGGGACGCTGTTCTGTCATTAGGATGAGAGCTCAGCAGAGTCAGCTTTCATATCACCGCCGGCTCTGCTAAGCTCTCATCGTAATGACAGATGGGCGTCCCTGGTTATCTGGTAACCAGGGACGCCCATCTGTCATTACACACTGAGAACCCGGCGGAGCCGCTGTGATATCACGGCGGCTCCGCCGGCTTCTCAGTGTAATGACAGAACGGCGTCCCCTGGTTACCAGGTAACAAGGGACGCCGATCTGTCATTACACACTAAACCCTGCGGAGCCGCTGTGATATCACTGCGGCTCCGACGTGTTCTCAGTGTAATGGCAGAATGGCGTCCCTGGTTACCTGGTAACCAGGGACGCCGTTCTGTCATTACACACTGAACCCGGCGGAGCCTGGAGAGATTACTGTGACACGTTCGGGTAACCCCTGGCCAGATGGAATTACATTTACCATATTAATTCTCTACTCCCTTTTCTAACAATGATAATAGCGAAATGTAAAAACATATTTTGGCAGAAAAATATATGGCCAGGTTCTCAGTGTAATGACAGAACGGCGTCCCTGGCCAGCTTCGACTTTTACCTGGGCTCAGTCGAGCCGAAGCATATGCCTTCGGCTCGACTGAGCTCCTCGGCCAACTTCAGGAGCTGTACGGGCTATAGTGAATAGCCCGTACAGCAGCCCTTTGTTTCCACTGAACCGAAGGGGACCTGGGGCCGAAGCTGGCCGAAGGATCAGCCGGAGCTACGGCTAGATCCTTCGTCAGCTTTGTGAATAACCCCCTATGTCTTGTAGCAATCATTTCTCACTACAGTGGTCTCTGCAGATTGTGTAAACTAATGAATACAAAAAGGAACTTGGAACACTCTTCTTACTTTTCACATAGGTCAGACAGCCTTACACATCGCTATTGAAAGAAGACAACTGGAAATTGTGAAGTATCTCATTGCAAAGGGAGCCAACACAAACGCATGTGCAAAAGGTGTTTTTTTCAACCCAGTGGATAAAAATGATGGGTTTTATTTTGGTAAGTGGCAGAAATTTTCTGTGGTATAGCTCACCTCATGCAATGGTCGGGCAGATTTCATAGGCATCTCTGTAAATCCAATCCTTTTAAGAATGTGGTGATTTTTATAATTTGTTTATCTAAATGAGCAACCTAAACTAACAATACAAGCAAGAACTTTTATCAAATACAATATAAATATCTGAGAACTGCCATCTAAAACTCCTGTTTTACCTTTTCCATGCCAATGTGTTTTTTGCACACATGTTGTAATCCACATCTTAGGCCTAAAAATTACTTAAAACCCCCAATAGTTATATAGTTTTATGCCGCATAATATTAGCGCAATTTCTAATCAAACCCAAAGGGGTTGATTTACTAACCTTATAAACACACCACGAACATGTATACACCTCTGTAGTGTGTTCCCTCCCAGCATGATCTATGGGTGGAATCTAAACACCTTTGTAGTGTGTACACACCCAGCAGGTGTGTTGTGCAAAGCCCTGCCCTGAATTGCAAGGTGATGTTGTGTAAATTAGCTCTACATTGTGTTGCTTGCGTTGATGAATGCAGGAATATAAATGCATGAGAACCATTTTTGTCTAAACTGTGCAGCAGCATTATATATGCATCATGTGCATGATTTTTCCATATATGGCATTAGTGGAAATATGCTTATAGAGACTTTTTGGTTGATAAATACGCTTTGCTGTGTAAAAAAAAAAAAAAAAAAAAACACGCACCTGGTGCGTGCTTGTGTTTAGGTTAGTAAATCACCCCCACAATGTCAGTATGTTAGTATGTGCACGTTCACAGGAGTGGGGGACTTTAACATTTTTTGTAAATTTTTATTTAGGTTTATTTTAACTTTTTTTTCACTTTACTTAATTGCTATCACATATGGGGGCTAATAAGCCCCGTATGTGATAGTATAATAGTGGTGACAGGTTCTCTTTAAGGTGACATTGGGGGTCTATTAGAGCCCTAGGGGTTGATTTACTAAAGGCAAATAGGCTGTTCACTTTGCAAGGGAATTTTCACTTAACAGGGGAAGTTGGCCCTTAGTTTAGTGAATGGGGGGGAAGTTCTGCTGACTTCCATCACCCAATCATGTTCAAGAAAAAAAAATGCTGTTTTTTTATTTTCCTTGCACATGATTGGTTTTTCTTCACAAAGTGAAGTTACACCACATTCACTAAGCTAAGGGAAACTTCCCCGTCAAAGTGCAAATTCTCTTGCAAAGTAAACAGCCTATTTGCGTTTAGTAAATCAACTCCCATGGGTAACTTTCCACTTCAAAGAAGCTATTCAAGTGCGGATCGAGCTTGAAAACCTTTTTTCCCCGGCTTCTCTAGACAGGAAATGACAGCTGAGGAACCAGAAATGATGCGATTAGCGTCCTTTCTGGCTCTATTAAGCGGGGAGCCGTTTGGTGAATGGATGTTCGCCGGTCTCTCTCCCCTCTACCCCCCAACTTCCGTGATGCTGGTCCCGGGCCTGAGGGCTTCCAAGTACATTGAATGTAGACAAGATTTGTGAATGGGACTTCATTGATCTCCACTTGTCGTTCATCCTGAAACTTCTTGCAGCTGTCACAGTTCTACAGAGGACCCGGGAACCACAATGGGGGTATGCGCTTTGCAGGGCTTTTTTTTTAGCTGGGTGGCCACCAAAAACAGACGGGCTTAGTGCCAGGCAGAAAAGCCCTAGGAGGAAACTTTAGTTTAGGATGCATGTTTCCTTTAAGGTAATTCAAAAAAAGCACAGCCACTGGTTACATATATGTAATTTCAATGCTTTTCTTTTCCAGGTGAAACTCCATTGGCTCTTGCTGCATGTACTAATCAACCAGAGATAGTTGACCTCCTTATGAGTAATAGCCACACCAATGTCTCCATGCAGGACACTTTCGGAAATACTGTGCTCCATGCTCTAGTAAATGCTTCAGAGGACTCAAAGTCTCACAATACATTCATTATAAATCTGTATGATAAAATCATACGGAAGTGTAACAACAAGTCATTAGAAGGCATTAGAAATAAAAAAGGTTTTTCACCTATGCAGTTGGCTGCAAAAACTGGTAAACTGGAGGTAAGCCCTAAAAGGAAAATACATATCAAGTATTTGTTTGTTTTATATAGTGTAGCATTTACCATAACCACTTGTAGATCTTCTGCAGTATAGAAACATCCCACAGGAATTCACATAAAGCGACTTGGTAACTAGGATGACAATGTACGATACAAGCATGCTGCAAAAGAAGTGCGGAGCTACGGCCATAGCTGGAGTCAAAAACTTTGGGGTTGGTAGGATGCTGTGTGCTCTGCTGTACTCTGTGGTTCTCTCCGCCATCTCTATATCTCCACAGGACACCTGACATAATGGTCAGCAAGTGGAACCACAGCACACAGCCAGGGGAATGGGGCATCTGTGTCAGATACCATTGGCAGCCTTAGCTCCGCAATAAAGCAAAAAAAGTATTCACGACCCACTGGAAGTATTCGTCTTCTTCTTTAACAGGTCTACAGTGATGTTTTTCCTATTGACAGGGTCATTATAAGCCTCCAATCTGTTTATATGAGTACATTTAAAAAAAAAAAAACTCCCAAGAAAAATGGAGTATAAATGGGTCATTGGAGTAGGTAGGGCAACAGCAACAGTGCATAATCACATCATGCAATTTACAGGATCAATGGCATATATATAGTGCCATATTTATGGAACACCTGTTAAGTGACAGATTTGGAACATTACAGCAGCTACAGTTTTAAAAGGAATGGTACATTACAAAACAGCTTGTGCAACAATTATATATGCTGTATTATGTTTTTCAAAGATTTGTCTTTTTTTTATTGGAGTTACCCTTTAAAAAAATCTTAGATATTTTATGTAGTTGAAGAAAAGAAAGCAGAGGCAATCAATGCTCAAGATTTTCACACAAAGAAACAAGACTGACAAAGAAGATAACAACAAAGCGGTTCACAGGCAGCATTTGTGCATTCCTATTTACAGTTTATCTCTACCTCTACCTTGCAGTGAGGCTACCCCCATATTACAAGAGTTAAATGCTCATTTTTGTCTAAGGGGATTCTTTAACCCCTTCGTGACTGACGACGTACAGTGTACGTCGCCAGCATCGGACAACTTTACTTACCTGATCCCTGCTCCTCCAGCAGCTGGCGCTCACCTCTCCACCCATGGAATCGCCCTTGGCATCCTCATGTCTAATGCTGGGCTATAAATTCTGCTTTAACCGTGATGACATCAGTGGGCTTTGGACCATCAGAGTGGAGTGGGAAAGAGGCTGTGGGGATCAAGTAGGAAAAAATGTTTTATAGAATCCCCCTAGACAAAAATGAGCAGTTAACCCTTGCACTGGGGTTGGGAGAAGGGATAGCCCCACTGCAAGGAGAAAGCTTTTTGTAGATAGACTTTAAACAAAAAAATAAGTATATTATTTATTCAAATCCATAAATATGAAAGTGTTGCTAGATAGAAATTTAAATACACACATGCACATACTGTATACTGTATATGCGCGTGTTTTTCCAGCATAAAACAAAGGGTCAAATTTTGTAGCAGACCACCATACAGTACTACCTACTGGCCTTGTGGGGAAGCAGCATCTCTTACAGTACCCAAGCTATAATTGCTAAGACTCAAAGTAATAGACATGTAAATTTTGTTTAGTTTCGAAAGCATATTCATGCGAAAATTCGGACATTCGGAGGGATCTGAATGTTCGTATTCTAATGAGGCCGAATGCAAACAAATCCAAATGTTCTTTTAACAAAATTTATGATCATCCGAATTTTGTTCAAAATCAAACTAAAATTGGACACGTGACTGTTTCTTGCCCAATCAGAAAACCATAATTCGAATCAGAAAATCCGAATAACGAAACGGCGTTCCGACCCGAACCCCCATAGAACAAAAAATACAAAAAAAAAACAACACATTTTTGGCCAGTTTACATAGTACTATCCAAAATATAATTGTATAATTGCCAATAATATATATTTATGGTGGGCATTAATTGCACAGAGAAGAGATAAATCAATATATGAATGGTGATTTATATTTGTTAAAAAGAACCAGATGGCTATGCAAACGTGAGCCTGATCTGGGGGATTTTTGAATTCACTGAGACTGAACAAATCGATCCACATTGTGCTATAAATTGGTAAAACAACGACTATTCCTGCCAACTCTGCTATCTGACATCTGGTCATTTCTGATTATCTGCTGCTAACAGTTTGAAACTATTGTAACCCATAAATACGATGGGAATTGCTCTGTAGAGGAGGCATACTTATTTTTTCGTTTAGCTGTATTCTACCTTGTTTTGCTACAAACATTATAATCGTAAAAGCCAATGTGAACTTTGCTAAAAATGTGGGAAAAAGTGGTAGGCGTAGGTGCAGCCTGGATCTCACGCTGAGCTCTCAGTCACTATCAGGTGCAGGCTAATAAATAGAGAGAGAGGTTTACCTGTTGGGCCAGGCTTAACCCTTTCCTAGCCAGGGAAAAAAATAAAAAGTGATTGCCAGAATACTGTTTCTTCTTTGCTCCTGAAAGCCATATTTATATGGACAGCACTCTGGCTTAGTGGTTAGTGCTTCTGCTTTGCATCACTGGAGTCCTGAGTTTGAATTCCAGCCAAGACACAATCTGCATGCTCTCTCTGTGCTTGTGTGAGTTTCCTTCCACATGCCTAAATGTGCCCATACACCTTACGATAATCATGGGAAATCCCACAATAGTACGATAATCGCAAGGTGTAGGCGAGTTATATCAGCCTCTGTAATGCTAGCTCCGCACAATCGTTTTCTATTTACTTTTTTTTACATTTTTCACTCTTGTTCTGTTCTGATCGGTCCCTTTGAAGGACCGAGCTCAGCGTCATTCGGCTATTCACTCACTGCTGTTCGGCATCTTTAAGAATAGCCCGAACAGCAGTGAGAAGCCTGCCGGAGGTTCGGCTCAGCCGATCCAGATGTTGGATCGGCTGAGTCGAACTCCTTCTGCACTTCGGGTCAGCCGAACATGCTGAGCATGTTCGGCCGACCCGAAGCAACGCGAAGCAAGCCGATGTACGGCTGATTTCAGCCGATGTACGGCTGAAATCAGCCGTACCAGCCTGAAGTGAATAGCCGAACAGTGTTCGGCTCACTTCACTTCAGATCGGTCATTCACTCGGCTGCCCTCGGCAGCTTCGTGAATAGACCCCTGTGTAAATTGTTGGTGCTAAATAAATATGGTGAGCAGTTTTAGAATTATGCTTTGACATCAAGCTCTGGATAACTGGAAATGAAAAACTGTGTATCTTGATCAAGCTAAAAGACGGATGTTACTTCATTTTGTTTGTTCTCTTTTTAGATGCTTAAATACTTTCTGAATAGAGAAATAAAGGAGAAAGAAAACAGGGTTCTGTCCAAGAGATTCACAGACTGGGCTTATGGCCCTGTTTCATCTCATCTGTATGATCTGTACGATGTGGACACAAGCTCAAAAAACTCGGTACTGGAGATAGTCGTATACAATACAGCTATTAATGTAAGTGCCATGTAATGGAATGTATATATATATGTATATACTAGGGATGCACCGATACCACTTTTTTAAGACCGAGTACGAGTACCTATACTTTTGATCAAGTACTCACAGATACCAATTACTGATACTTTTTCTTAAAGGGACAGGTCACATTTTTTCTAAAGCAATACAAACTAATGCCTTAAGGTCACTTTCTTAATATTATGATTCATGAGATGACGAGGGAGCATGACGCCGGCTTCCCGGCCAATCAGAATGCTAGCTTTGGCCCCAGTACCCCTTCGGGTTAAGTAGAACTGAAGGGCTGCTGTACGGGCTATTCACTACAGCCAATAGCAAACTAGCTATTGCACCCGCCCACTGCTACTGTCAATCAGCAGAGGGGACCTGCAGTTCTCCATCAGGTCCCCACTAGTGATTGACAGCAGCAGAGGGGGGGGGTGCAATAGCTAGTTTGCTATTGCAAATTGAAATAGCCAATAGGAATCTAGCAATACATTCCTATGGCAAAAATGTTTTTCTTTTTTATTCTGATGACAGCCAACGGCTCCATATCAGAATAAACATGGATTTACCAATATCCCCCACGGCAGAACCAACGGCCAATAGAAAACAGTTGGGCGGAGCTAGGTGTCACTGCTAGCTCCGCACAATCATTTTCTATTTCTTTTTTTGTACTTTTTAAACTACTTTTCTGTTCTGCTCGGTCCCACAGAGGGACCAGGCAGAACAGTCGAGCCCAATGCCGCTCAGTGGCGTTCGGCTCACTTCGCTTCAGGTCGGTCGATCACTCGGCTGCCTACGGCAGCTTAGTGAATAGACCCCTCTGTATTTCATGAAGCAGTTTGCACTTAGGCTTGTTCACACTAAATGCAGACCAGATCTGCATGAGTTTCTGCACTTGCAGTGCAGTGTTTTTTGCCACGTTGTTTTTGTCGCGTCCCGGGGCATTTTTTTTTTAGCTTAAAATGTGCTTTCAGTGTGTTCCAGGGCGTTTTCGTGCGTTTTTGATGCGTTTGCATGCCTTTTGGTGCGTTCCAAAAAATAGGGCATGCTGCAGTTTTTCCACATGCTTTGGAACTGAATGCTCTGGTGTGAACTAGAGCCCAAAATACCATTGGAATACATTGGACGCAGTTTTGATCCGTTTTGTAGCTGCTCTGCATCTGCTCCGCGCTTTGTGTGAACTAGCCCTTATATGTTAATGTTAAACAGTTAAAACATGTTTATTTTTTTTCTCCTAGAACCGGCATGAACTGTTGGCATTAGAACCCCTCCAAACGCTGCTTAAGATGAAATGGAAAAAGTTTGCAAGAAACATGTTTATTGCCTCTTTTCTGCTTACCTTTGCCTTTAATTTAGTTTTTACACTTCTCTTCTACCAGCCACATGGAGATAAGGTACATCAGCAGTCTAAGTATTAAAAGTAAACACATAATTAACATATTTTTATATAATAACATTATTTTAAAATAGATCTTCCAATGTTCAGCTCTGTGCTCTTCTGATCAATTCCCATTGCTGCACATTAGCAACCTCATTGCAACTTTCCTCAGAAGTATTTCCTCTATTTAGAATATGAAACATCTACCAAAAAATTCCCAATAAATCTACCAGAATAGAACATACTAGACATTGCTAACAGATGTGATTTTCACAATCATTTGAGTTTATTCAATAAGACAATAGAAGAAATGATGCAGATGTCATTAAAACAGTGGGGGGAAAAATTCTGATTATAATTGTATCACAAAAAGTTCCTAAATCATTGTGCTGAATACATTTTTGGGTATATAGCAAAACCTACTATAATTAAACAGAGTTCTGTTCCCACAAAATATGATTGTATAATGCATCTGTATATAATACACACAGGGTTATTCACAAAAGGGTGAAGAGTTTGAGAAGGCAGGAGAAGTGACCAATCTAGGACAAAATAGCTGTTTTGGAAAAATTGTCCAATTCAGCTCACTTTCCAGTTCAGCTATGATGTCCTAGATTGGTCACTTCTCCTGCCTTCTCCAAACTCTTCACCTTTTTGTGAATAACCCTCACAGTCCTCAAACCCATTGGAAGCCCCTCTAAATAGAAAAAAACTATCCTAACCATCCTAACCAAAAGGGAAAAAATACATGCCTTGACTCTTCCTTGTATCTTTTACTTCAGGCTCCGAAATCTCTGAACCTCTCCAGTACAAGTGGACAATTTGAACTGCTTGGCCAAGCATTTATTGTGATTTGGGCCACATGCCTAATTATTAAAAAGGTTTGTCACGGACATGAGTTGAGTTAAAACATGTTTTCAAATATATAAATAATGATGTAAGACAACAAAATCTCAGTAAAATACTATTATCGCACGATTATTTTGTACGATGATCGAACCGTCATTCGATTTTCATTCAACTGACCCATCATGCACAGACCTTTGTGGGTTTCAATTAGCACTCGTTAGCAATATCACCTTGCCAAATTTCTGCGATTGACAGAATGGATTTTCGTTTGCACATGAGCAGTGTTCTTGTTGCGATTTTTTTTTGTACGAAAATGCCACTAATTAATCACATTTTGTACGATTCGATAAAAAAGTTTTCTAGCCTGCTGGAAAGACAAAAGTCGAACGGTTGTACAGTAATTGCGGTTGTGCACTTCCCATGAACTGTGCGATTATCGTACAAAAACGCGATCGCAGACGAAAATCGTGCAATAATATATAATTGTAAGGTGTATGGGCACCTTTAATCTGGCAAGTTCTTGCTTAATCTGTATAAACTAAAAGAAAAAAAAAAACAGCTCCCATGATGAAACAAAAACTTGAGCTAGGTAAGCAAAACTTAATGAACACAGTGGCAGTTTCTTGTACAGTGCTTAGTACTGGAGAACTGCTATACTATTGAAAGAAAAGTATCTGTTGATTATATTTAGCTATTTCAATAGCTTTTCATTGTTAAACAAGATCTTGCTGTTTAAAGGGAAACAATAATGGTCTGGGGGTCAATTTTATTTATTTTGTTTCTAAGTTTTTAAGTTTCATATGTGTCTTTACTATATGTATATATACAGTAAAGAAAAAAATGTAAAACCAGTATACATTCCCTTTACATAGACAACACTTCACTTTAGTTAGCATAACCCAAGAGGGGGATATTGGTAAATCCATTTATACTGGGCTTAAGTGAGAAGAGAGTTTGAGACGGTCACCTTAGACTTTAGGATACAATAAACAATATGTAATGTATTCACTTTTTCCTTTCTTTAGGGGGCTTCAATTTTCTGGCTGAGTCCTTCAGATCTGAAATCAGTTGTGTCTGATGCCTGGTTCCATATTCTTTTGTAAGTTGTGGAATCATATAATACAGCGTTTCTCAAACTTTTCTCTCAAAGGAACCCTTGACATAATTTTTAGGTCTCAGGGAACCCCTGCTAAAAATAATTATACTTACAGCTCATGGTACACCAGTGTGAGAATGTGTGAACAGAAGACCACATGGCTGCCTTGCAAATCTTGGAAATAGTTGCATGATGCTAAAAAGTACAACCTAGGTTGAAACCACGTTAGGAAGGAAAGAGGCTCTAGGCCCCAACACTAGCCTTTTTATGTAAGACCAGAAAGGGTTCTTTTGACAAGGCTGCTACTTCAGACATATGCCTCGCAGAGGTGATAGCAACAAAGAAGGCAACCTTGTGAGTAAGCGTGGAAAGGGAAATATCCCTAAGAGCTTTTTGAAGTGGCGAAAGAACCAGATTCAAATCCTACAGAGTGAGGGGGAACCAGGGCCGGATTTACGCTCTCTGCTGCCCCAAGGCCGAGTTCCTCAATTGCTCGAAGCAGGGCTAAATATAGAAAAAAACTACTCGCCCGGTGGCTGTGCTGCCCCTCTACTCCCTGCTGCCCCAAGGCCGGGCCTCAGTGGCTTTGTGTGAAATCCGGCCTTGGGGGGAACCACATCCTGTCCAAAAGTCTTAATCAAAGAATGGGAGGTTAGTGGTCTTTGTAACAAGATCACAAGTGCCATGATTAAACCTGCCATGGTAATTAGAGCCAAATGCTGATCCTGATCTAATTGCAAAAAGGTCAGGACACCTCCTACTGAATATTTTTTGGGTGTAAGATTATTTCCTTGCACCAAGAATAGTTTGCCTTCTATGAGTGATGGTAGACCTTGAGGAAAGTGGACTTTCTAGCTTTTACCTTCATAGGACTCAAAGATTTGAGAAGGCCTCTATCCGTGAAGACCTGGGCTTTAACAGTCATGCTGTTAAAAGCCAGCAAGTACCATTTTTTCTAGTTTGACTATTTTTGGATGTGGGGACGCACTGGGGTCCCAGCGTGCATTCTAGATTCCTGGGCCTCCAGTGCGTCCCTGCACCTTATTAGGAGGAGTTGGCTACTCCAGGTACACCTGCATGCAATTTATCGACTGCATTAATATGCTCGCACTTGGAAACTCGTATACATAGAGTTAGGACCACACTTTGCAGAGGTGCCTTGACGCGGCGGTGTGGCTTCTACATATTTTTGGCCAAAAGTTTGTGCAACTAAAACCTCTTATTTTAACGCATACTGTTGACAGGGCAGTTTGTTTGGTTGCAGGCTAGCTGGCAGGTGAAGCTGGGGATTTTTTGTGTTTTGTATTGTTATAAGCCAGCAACCCTGAAGCAGGATGATAAACTGGTCCCTGGGAGAGAAGATCCTTGAGATCTGAAAGAGACCAGAGAGTGTCTGCCAGGAGACTGATCATGTCTGAATACTAATCCAAGTCTTGGAGCAGCGTTTTAGGTTTGTCTTGGGGAAGAAAAACTATGGTTTTAGCTGTGACTAGGATAAGACCCAGACCTTCCAATGCTGACTTCTGTAGGGTCAGGATCCAACCAAACCTTTTAATGATTTGAACTGTCCAGATCATGTTGTCGGTCAATATTTGTACCAACTGCTCTTTCAACAGGAGCTTGTCCTGATATTCCACAAAGGGGGTGCCCTGGGAGCATAGCAAGTTAAGCTTAGGGGCTAGAACTTTGGTAAACACGCATGGTATGAAAGATAAGCCAAATGGCAGGGCTACAAACTGGAAGTACTGGGATCCCATCGTAAAGCAAAGTAATCACCAATGTGCTAGAAAAATAGGGACATGCAAGTATGCTTCCTTGAAGTCTACAAAGGCCAGAGAAGTCTCCCTGATGGAGGGAGGCTTTGACAGACCAGGTGGATTTTATGCAGAATTTTTATGCCCAAATAAAGATATTGAAGGCCTTGAAATCCATGATGGGGAAAATGTCTGCTTTTGGTTTGGAAACTGTGAGAAGGTTGGAATAAAATCTCTTAAATCTTTCCATCACAGGGACTGGTAAAATAACCCCATGATCCAGAAAACCTGCAAAAGCTGCATGGGGGTCTGCTAACTAAGGAGGGGGCTAAAAGGTGAACTCTAATATGGAAACCACTTCCCGTACCCATCTGAGATGATGTCTAACCAGATGTCTGCAAAGGCTAACAGACTCCCCCCAATATAGAAAGTGGCGGCATGCATCTCTTCATGCTGAAGAGGACTTGTCTGAAGATTGGGGGATTTAGAGGACCAGGGTTTGCGGTTGAACTGTGCTCCTGGCCCGGGCCTGGGTTTAGAGGTAGGAGCCTGGGTGTAATGAAAATGCTTCTTGTACTGGGGGAGGGAGGGGGGTTTGGGAGTAAGACTTCCCAGGGTGAAGCCTAGGAGTCTTCTACTGGGATGTATGAATACACTTACCCCAAGTTCTGATATCCTTAAACACTGGTACATCCTCTACAGGAATTGTCAGCGCGTTATTAAGGCAGGACAGTTTATTTTATTTATTACAGGTATGTTTACTTCTTAATAAAGGTCTCCTGAAACTTATATTGGGCTGCAAATAGTTTGGGAGGTTTTTCGTTTTAAAAGGGCCTCTTACTTTTTTCAGTATAGTTTTCTATAGTTTTTAGTATAGCACCTCTGGCTTCATATATCACAACCAACATTGTGTCATTTACAGTTTTTAAACAAGTGTAGCAGCTTTAAGTTGGATTTTTTTTTCAGTTTCATACATGCAGTCCTTGTCATCGTATCATTGTTATGTTGTATAATTGGAGTAGAAGTGTATCTGGCCTTTACAGTCATTGCTATGGCCCTTGGGTGGACAAACTTAATGTATTATACAAGAGGATTCCAGTCCCTGGGAGTCTACAATGTTATGATACAGAAGGTAAGTGCCAATGTACACAGTTCCTCACTAGATATGGGCATTTCCTTTTGGTTTATGTATTATGTGTCTAATTAAATCTTTTAGCAGCTTATTATTTTGAAAATCAGGCTAAAACATAACCTGACTAAAAATACTTAAAGTGGAACTATCTACCCCTACCTCCTCTCCACCCCTGTCTACCCCTGTTTCAGTGACAGCCATAAAGTTTGACTTCTCTGCACTTTTTGTCACAGTGACAGTGGTAACCATGACAAAACTTAAGGTTGGACCTTTTCAGTGGGAACAGAGACAGCCTGTCAATTTAAATGTAAGGTGAAATGAAAAATGTTGCCAAGAGCGTGGAAGTATTCATTCAAGATGTGTAAAGATAACAAAACATATTCAGTACATCTTACATAGTTTTCACTCTTTCATAGTTCTTCCCAGTTCCTCTCTGCATAAGCATGGTCACATATGTCCACTGCCAAGGCAGAGAACCTCAGGACTGATGTGATCAGTTGGCACTGCCTAGGTTTCTCTAGTTACAACTATTTGGAGAGCTCCTTGATAAGGTGACATATTAGAGACAGATGGACCTAGGTGCTAGGTGCGCAATAAAATAAAGTTGTCTTGGGAGGAATATACAGGCTGCCATTGCTATCCTCCTTCAGAAAAACACAGACTGTCTAATGGCTATATTGATCCACTGGAGTCACTGATCTGGAACAAGTCTGCAGATCCAAAATGTCAAAGTGAAGTCAGAAGTTCTGATCTTTCAACTTTTTGACTCAGTGAATCACAAAGTATTGAACCCAGAGGGTCAACATAAAGGCCAGTCAGCCAGCAGTTTCCAGAGAGGTCAGCAATGACATCTATGTTTCTCTTATGGGAGTTTCCTTAAAGTGATTTTATTGCTGTTCCTTTTATGATAATATCCTGTTGTTAAAATATCTATTATATTTTTTAAAAACATGATGCACTTAAAAAATTTACAAAAATACTGAGAAGGGCCAGCATGTAACTTCCTTTTTTTTGAGTCACTAATTAGCAATCTAATACAAACATGCTGGGATGTTTTAGCAGTCCTTCATAACTAAGATTAATGTCTTCTCTGAGTACTGTATAGGAAATAGGATATGAGACACGTTATGATCAAGCTAAATGATTGTTTGGACTCTTGGTGGTTAGTAGAATGCTTAGCACCCTTGTGACCCCCAAGGGCATATGAGGCAGTGTGGGCTAGCGAGCTGGAGACTCAAAAAGCTGAATTATCAATCAGACTTATGCTGACAACAGTGTGGCAACTTCTAAATTCACTCTTCTGCTTAGGACAGGGTGGCTAGAAAGGTTTGTTCTAAAAATGCTAAATAACTACATTTGTACAGCATAATACATCATAATACTGTACCTGTTTTTCATGACCAATATATTCTTACTTACAGGTCATCTTGAATGATGTCTTAAAATTCTTACTAGTGTATGTTCTGTACTTATGTGGATTTGGTGTGGGTAAGTGATTTGTCATCTTCAGCGATTGGCCATCTTCTTCCAATGGGCAGTGCTGTAGGGGTGTGGAAACTACATTCATGATGCAGGGTGAAGGGGCAGGGTGATGACCTGTTATGGGTGCTACTTCTTCCAGATGGAATTTTGCATAGAGATAAGTTCTTTATGCATCTCAATAAAAAAGGTCATCTTGAATGATGTCTTAAAATTCTTACTAGTGTATGTTCTGTATTTATGTGGATTTGGTGTGGGTAAGTGATTTGTCATCTTCAGGGATTGGCCACCTTCTTCCAATGGGCAGTGCTATAGGGGTGTGGAAACGACATTAATGATGCAGGGTGAAGATAGAGAAGTTTTTTTATGCATCCCCCCCAAAAAAGTAGAATAGGCTGCCTTTAACAATTTTCATAGCATTAGTTTTTTCTGTTAACATAATCAGTTTCATTATATTTATTTCCTTTCCAGCTCTTGCCTCATTAATCGAAAACTGCCCCGATGATTCAGAATGCAGGAGGTATAACAGCTTTAGAAGAGCAATTGTGGAACTGTTTAAACTGACTATAGGATTAGGAGACCTGGAGATGCAGCACGATTCGAAATACCCAGTCCTGTTTCTGATGCTTCTTATTATCTATGTCATTCTAACATTTGTGCTTCTTCTAAACATGCTGATTGCATTAATGGCAGGGACTGTGGATGACATTTCAAAAGACAGCGAAAATATTTGGAGACTTCAGGTTGGTATGAGCAATAATCTCTTCAGTTTACAATGGAAAATGTGAATGTTCCCAAACTTCTTAGAATTTTCTATACAGCTATCACACAAGTGATCTTGTAGCAGTCATTTGTAAGCAGCTACAAAATCGCTCTCCTAACATTTTTGCTGCTAGGTAAAAATACAATACAGACAGTGAAAGGCCTGTGTTGCAGAAATTGCAAGCAATTTGTAGCTCAATTGCTGGGCATTTGAATTTGGAGCTAGCTTGAGAATTGCTAGTTTCAGTAACTACTCGTGTTATCCAATGCAGCTTCTGATAACCATGGCACACCAGTAGTTTGTAGCCTAGACAAGCACTGTTGTCAGCTATAGCAGTAACTATGTAGCCAGCTACAAATTGCCAGGTTCACTGATACAAGGAAAGGACTGCAGGGGGCACAGGGAGCCAGATTTGAGCAGGTAATTCCATTTTCCCAAATTACTTTTAATGCACATTGTGCGTGTAAGAGAGCGCTGCTGGTCAGCTACCACACTATGTCACACAGTGAAATGGGGGCAGCACACACACACACATACAATGCCCTACGCATGCGTTTATTCACATGCATATGGCGGGGGTGGCAGGGTTGGTTTTAATTTTTTTTAAATTTTATCTTTATTTTTATTTTTTTTACTTTTTTTATCACTTTTTATTTTTCTTACATCTTTTTTTATCTTATTGTTTACTTTTTTATTTTTTTATATATTTTATATATTTTATCATTTTTATCACTTTTTATATTTTATTTTAAAAATTATTGCTTATTATTTGTACTTATTTGTATAATTTTTTACTTTTTATACATTTTTATTTTTTAAACTTTTTATTTATTTTATTATGTTTTACTTTTTTTTCACTTACATTTATTGCTATCACATAGGGGATAACAAGCACCATATGATAACATTTGGAGGTGACAAGTTCTCTTTATTAAACCGGTCACCTCCAATACAGGAGTTTTAGCACAGCACTGTGCTGGCTCTCCTGTGACAGCGGAGATGGGAAGGCTGTGAGTACAGCTTTCCTGTCTCACTGTTTAACATGAAGCAGACTGGAGATGGGACTTCTCCGCTCCAAGCTCTCCATCCTGAACTAAACTGCCATGGTCCCAAGTCCCCCAGAAGAGTGGGCAACCCCAAAAACCATGACAAGGAGAGAGGTGGCCAGCGGGGAGAGAGGCAGCCGGATGTGGGGGCGGCCCATGGAGTGGGGGACGGACCAGCAGGCTTATTACAAGTAATCTTGACAAAATCACTTGTACTGGACGAGCGGCAGCTCCTGTGCTGTACATTTAGCCCTGCTTGCCCAAAGCAGGGCTTAATGTAGAAAGAAACTATCTGCCCGGCGCCAGGAACTGCATGTCCCGGGCATGGGGCAATACAAAATCGACACCCCTGCCTGGCATGCATGCCATAGGTTTGCCTTTGCTGCTCCAAGACAACATAGCTGATTTGAAAACATGCTCCAGTTCAGTAGATCTGGCTTCATTAAATTGTGAACTGCAGCAAAACCTGCAATCATTGTTGCAAATCCTCATCATCAGTTTATCGTCAGATAAACTTCCTCTATAGTTAAAGACAAAAGAAAATGAAACATTAGGACAAAAATGAGAAATATACTTACTTTACACCCGACTTCCAGGTGATTCCTGTAAATGGCGTTGTCTTGGCTAGGGATCCTGGGAAAGCTCCAGCACTGTGTAGGAGTGTCTTCTCATGAGATCTGGGATCCTTAGCTTTCCGGGGATCTCACTTCAATGCCGGATTCTAGGAGTCATGGGTGGAGGTCAGGATGTAAGGTAAGTATATTCTTAATTTTTCTAAAAGGTGCAAGGTCCACTTTATGGAATCGGCCCCTTTGGACTGTTATTTTGTCCATTCTGAGACATTGATGATTTTTTTCCAGCGCTGTGATGGGATGACATTTTTTACCTTCTACATTAGCAATAAGGGTAACCTACCTATGGAAGGGAAATTACATTAAAAACAAACCATTTATTTTTCAGAGAGCTAGAACAATTCTGGAGTATGAAAAATCCTTGCCAACCTGTTTAAGAAATAAGTTTGAACTTGGAAAAATCTGCAACATCTCAGAAAATGACCGTTTATGTTTAAGGTAATACGGTATAATGATAGTAAGGGTCAGTTCACCTCAACAGAATATTGCATTCATGTGCGGAGCATGGTGGGCTAAGTTAGTCTCCAGGTTCCTTGACAGACATGGACGAATTTGATGATACCCTTCCATAAAAAAAGGAGAACCAACAATTTTCTCTAAAGTAACTTGAAACTGACAAAGGTAATTGCAATCCATCATTGATTATTCCTTATTTAATACAAATCAAACTTTGCTTTTGATTTTTAATTCAACACAATATTGTAAATAATAAAACAAATGAAAATGGCATGGACAAAAATGATGGGACTCTTACCCTAAGTAATCTCTGTAGCTATCAATGAGACTTTTGCCCATTTTGCCCATGCCAACAGGTAGTTTGGCCCACTCTTCTTGAGCAAACTGCTCCAGCTGTCACAAGTTTAAAGGTTGCCTTCTTTAGACTTCTTGGCTCATAGATTATTTTAATTGGTGTGGCTTTTAATTCCTCCATCTATTAAATGGCGCAATCAGACACTGACGTACTTTGATCTTGGGGTATAGCTCATATCTCTTTGGAAAGTTTCCCTTGTTCTTTGTCAACTATTTGCACAAACCTTCTGTTTAATAAGGGGGCAATTATTCTCTTGCAGCCACCTCTAAGAAGGTTGGCTACACTCCCATGACACTTAAATGCCTTAAACATATTTGCAACTGTAGTTACAGGAACATGAAACTGCTTGGAGATGTTCTCATAGCCTTCACCTTTCACATGCTGGTCTCTAATTTTCATTCTGATCTACTCAGACAACTCTCTCCTTTGCTTTCTCTGGCCAATGTTCAGTGTGGTGCACACAATGATACTAAACAGCAGAATGACTACTTTTCTCCATTTAAACAGGTTGACTGACTGATTACATGATTAAAGACGTGTGTGATAATAATTACAGAAATATCACTATGATTCAATTATTTATAATCTCTTCTAGGAGTACCAACAAATCTGTCCAGGCAATTTTAGAATATCTTTGTAGAATAAGCAATAATGTATCTCTTTTCACATTTTCTGTGCTTTACTTTATGATATAGAATAAAAATGCATGCAGGTAAGACTATTGCTTTTAACTACATCACTTTTCAGGAGGAATGAAGTATTATTTCAATGAGCTGTAAGGGTACCAACACATCTGTATGTCTTAGATACTCCAACTAAGAGCTACCTGCTATAATTCCTAACACTGCTGCAGCTCACCTATGGGTTTTGTGTGCCCTAGTCCATCTTTGTGTGTCCCAGCGCCTTCTGTTGTATTTTACAAAAATGGAGAGTATGAATCCTCTCACGAAGTGGAACAGCAGATGTGCAGACACAGGAACTCAAGAGAAGAGACCTCACCAATATAGTCCCAGAGAAATAAAGGGAACTGCCAAAAAGTTAAATATCAGTTTTGGATGGAAAGGCCCTTTACATAATGTTCTGTCCCCGCTACATGTTACGCTGTTGCCTGTATAGCTCGATGAGTGAAATGTTAAAGCTTTATTACCAAAACAGGGTGGGGTGAAACTGGTGAAAAAGACCATGAAAACATACAATCAGCATTTAAACATGTAAGCTTAATGTCAGCTTACAAATACAGAGTAAAATAAGTCCATCCATACCAGCAATGCTGCCGAAAGGGATTTGGGAGTTTTCCTCCAGGCATGTGCTTAGGAAGGCATTGGATTCTCTTCTCCTCTGTTCTAAGATCGAGGCTGAATTCCCAGAATGCCCTTGTGCCTGGAGTTTTACTAAAGAAAAATGGTCTAACTACTGTAAATAGAGATATGTTCTCTTCAACACCATCTTGTGACCAATTTTGATATGGCAGGCAGCTAAGTATAATTTCCTGCCTGTCAAGGCAGAACACATAATGTGTGTAAATGCTGATAAAGAAAATTTAATATGGATATAGCTTAGGTAGGAATATGCTCCTACCTGTATAAATGAAATTGTTAACTGCAATTGTACTAAGTGTGGTTGTGATGACCATATGTCTGACCTTGTGTACCGAAAGTCATATATAATTGTTCGTCCAGAGAAGTGTCTAATAGGTAAATATATATTGTCCACCTGACCTGAGTTAATTGTTCTTCCAAATAGTATATAATTAAGCTTAGTATATACTGTCCTTGTCACCTTTCACAGGGAGCAGCACAATGACAGCTGAAGCCTGCAATACAGTGTGTAAAGTAAAATAAACAAATTAATTTAAAAAGTTTTAAAATGTTACTAAAAATTGTGTAAAATACTTCCAATTCTTTGTACATTTGTTAGTTTATGGTAATATCAGCAGATAATTTATTAAAACAGTGCACAGTAAAACCTTTACATGTTAAAACTTCACTTAAATATAATATAAAAGTGATCTGTGTAGGGAAATTAGATTTAAGGCTCAATTCGCAAAGCTAAAACACAAGGATAGCGACCCTTATTTTAAAAAAAGCAACAGCTATCTTCAGTTGAGTTCAACGTCGTTTGAAAATTACACTCACATGGCTGAAAATGGTATTATAATAATAATAATAATCACAAAAATAATAATACTATTAATAATAATCATACTCTTATCCTTGTGTAAACCTTCGTAAACTGAGCTTATAGAGTTAGGCCCCATTCACACCTAAGTGTGAGCATAGCCAGGTGATTTAAAGGTCTTTTTCTGTGCATTTGCAAATGCATTTTTTGCAGATTTTTATGTGTGATGTGTAATGCAGGACCAGGATTGTGTGTTTTTGGCCTCATAGACTTTTAAATGAGAGGACCTGAGAAACACGCACAAACACATTTTCTTGAAGCAATTTTTAATCACTCCCATTAAAGGAGAACTATGAGGTGAGTGCTTCTCACTCACCTCATAGTTCTAGCCGACCTGTGACAATGAAACTGTCACAGGTCGGCTCAGTAGATTGGGAAGTGAGCGAACACATACCGGCGTTCGCTCACTTCTTGATCCTGTCACGGCTCTCTGCCGTGACAGGGGAGGGGCTGAATTCCCCCCACTCCGATCCTCCAGCGCTGACTGGCGGAACGGACGGGGGAGGGGGCGGGTACAGCTGGCTCGGCCTCTAGATAGTCAGAGCCAGCTGTCACTCACGCAGCTGCCGGGATCCAGACATAATTGCGGCGTCTCAGTATACTGAGCTTAGGGTGACGGGAGGACGCTAGTTTGTGTCCTCCCATTACCCTTAGGAGAACTATGGGGAAAAGCCCTAACCCCATAGTTTGCAGTATGGGGCCAAAAATGCATGATTTTGCCCCCCAAAAGGATCTCATGTACTTTTTCGAGCTTCACACAACAGACCATAAGTGACAAAACAGGTATGAACAAGCCTATTGAGAGTAATGGGATCCTGAGCATTGTCCTGCTTCGGGAATCACTCAACAAAAACACTCAGGGGTCTTATTGTCAACGTAGCTGTTGACACTAAGTACTGGTGCTGCTAAACTTGTTCTTGCCATCTAGGCTTCATTTACCTCTATTTATATATGAGTTAAGGCAATTAGTGCAAGAAGTTATCTTGCACTAAACAGACTTCATGAAAATGAGATCTGATTCATTGCAATGGGTTTCTGCGCTTTGCACTTAGCATTAGAGTTCTTTCACCTACTAAACTAAAGCATTTAATAAAAACATTTGTTTTTGTTTTTTGCTATCTGCAGAATTAATGAAGTTAAATGGACGGAGTGGCATCATCAGGTTATTTGCCTGAACGAAGAGCCCGGTATTTCAAAGTTAAATGGTGTGTATTGTTTTACAGTGCTGCTAGCAAAATTTGATCCTCTGTGCAAAATGTATACAATTCATTCATTCAGGGAACATAATTTTTCTTGTGTGTACAAGTTCCTAAGGACAGATCATTAAACCTGCCAGCATTCTTCCTGTTGACAATGATGATCAGCAGTACTCTGCAACATCTATGACACAAGTAAAACATTGTACACATTTTTCTCTAATGCATGCAACATATGTGGCTTAAAAAGGATACTTGGGTTGTCATGTCATAATGTATTCTTCTTTTTAAAAGGTGCCAGTTACAACGATTTGCATGCCATTGATGGACCGGTCCATCCTAAACAAATTCCCCAAATTACAGTTCAAGTGCACAGTGCAGACAACTGAATTCTTGAAACTAGTTGATAATTATTTTAATAATGGTCTTATTATTACCATTGGTACATTTTTTGTAACAAGCATGGTTACACTATGTGCAATGTTTATGCTGCTAAAGAACACCTGGCTTCCCATTCTACATTGCCGAAGATCAATTTTTACAGCCAGCTATGGAACATTTTTCACAAAGGTGTCCAAACAGATCTGAGCTCCCGTTACTAACTATTCAAGGTCCTGCAGTATTAAGATTGCCATTTATTCTTATCCGGAAGAACATGAGGAATCAAAGACAATGGTTTCTATTTGCTTTCTGCAGTAAGAGGAAAAAAGGTGAAGAGAAAGTTCAAACAACTATTTTTATACTCGGGGGAATTGGGAAAGAGATGGGATACAAGTGTTTTATTCGAAATGCCACTGCTACTGCAAAATTATAAAGAGACCTGGCAGTGGAACTATCAAAGATGGAAGGGGGGCAGTCATACACAACCTCCAGTGGTCAAAGAACTTTGGGCTCTGTGACCCCCCTCTATGCCTCCATCAGGATTATGAGAAGCTTTGCATGATCAGTGGAAGCTTCTTCATGCACAGAAACTAAATACATAGACGCGTGGAGCAAAACAGTGTTACCACTACCACCGTGTACTGGGGCCTGAAGGAGCTAAGTTACACTCCCATGGAAATCATAAATGTATTGCTTGTTTTGATTACTGAAAAGCAAACCATGTAACTTTACCTATGCTCCTGGGACTGTGTCAAAACTCACAATACTAGGAGATTGATCTATAAAGAATTCCCAGAGCTATTCGCCCTGCGAATATCTGTGAATGTTCGTCTTGTGCGTACATATATCCACAAATCAACGTTCTTTAGGGGGTTATTCACTAAAGAGCCGAAGGATCCAGCCACGACTTCAGCTGATCCTTCGGCTAGCTTCGGCCGGCTCTGCCTTTTGATTCAGTCGAACCGAAGGACTGCTGTACGTGCTATTCACAATATGTCTCAGCTCGACTGAGCCAAAGTGACAGCCGAAGCAGGGAAAACGGCCTGCCAAAGGGCCGGTCGTTCTCCCCGCAACTGACAGTTGGGCAGAGCCAGCCGTGATCTCACGGCTGGCTCTGCCCAGCTGTCACAGATCAGCGTCCCCAAATGACCTGGGGACGCTGATCTGTCATTAAACAATAACTTTTCTTTTTTTTTCTCTTCTTTAAAATATATTTGTTTTTTATTTCACCTATTTTTCATCATTTTTAGACTTTTTTTTCTCAATCTTTTCAATTCTTTTCTTTTCTGCTCAGTACCTCGGAGGTACCAAGCAGACTAGCCAAGCCGAATTACTGCCATTCGGCCCCTATGAGAATAGGGGTGAATGGCAGTGAGTGAGCTGCCGGAGCTTCGGCTCAGCTGATCCTGATGTTGGATCGGCTGAGTCAAAGTCCCTCTACACTTCAGCTCAGGTGAGCATGCAGAGCATGTTTGGCTGGCCAAAGGCAGCCAATGTACAGCTGATTAAAGCCGATGTAAGGCTGTAATCAGCCGTACTGAGCCGGAGTAAATAGCCGACCATCGTTTGGCTCACTTCACTTCGGCTCGGTTATTCACTAGGCTGCCTTTGGCAGCTTTGTGAATAAACCTGTTAGATTTTTTTCCTTATCGAGTGTAATAAAAGTCAAATGTTCTGGTTGTAATACTGCAATATGGTCACTAGATGGCACTAAAGGAACATAGGAAATATGTATTTATATCCTATGCTTCTTTAGCACCATCTAGTGTCCATAATGTGATATTACAAGTAGAATGCTCAAATTTAGTTACACTTGTAAAGGAAAAAACTAAAGAACATTCGTTTGTGCATATATTCACACATAATGAGCATTCACAAATATTCACAGGGCCAACAGCCCAGCAAACTCTTTTTAAATCAATCCCTATGATTTATATATAACTGAGACAAGTAAAGGAGAAATATAATGTATCTATTTAGTGATTACATATTTTCAGCTATTATTGTAGTTTTTACTGTACCATATTTTTTATGTGACTTTCATGCTTTTTACATGTTTTTTATTGTATTAAATAAAAAGATGTGGAGATAAACTTTGGATGAAGCACTGGTTTTTACTGTGACCACTTATGCTGCCTGCATAAAGTGAACCTATTTCTGAAAATGCTAGTTGCCTGTTATGCTCATAATTCAGAGGTTTACCGTGACAGCTAAGTAACACGCATTATTGGAAGAAATCAGTGAGGGCTGATTCTCAAGATTCCTTTCACAACTGTGATAAAATACTTTTTGAGAGAGATAGAGCTTTCGTTTGGTGGTATTTAATAACCTCTGGCATTTTTATTTTTTACTATATAAAGAAAAAAATACCTTATATTTTAAAAAGCAAACTGTTTTCCTTTCTGATATAAAAAATATAAAATAAATAATCTTTTTTTTTAAATTTAAGCCAAAATGTGTTCTGCTACATTTCCTTGGTAACAAAACAAAAAAAAACCAGATAAGGGTATATTAGTCTGTATTACAGTTATAGAGTCTATGAACTATGAACAGATTGGTTCTGGTGCTGAATGACACTGGTAGTGGATGGCACTGGTACTGGCTGGCACTGGTTCTAGATGACACTGTTACTGGTTAAACATGGACTGGTTCTGGCTGGAACTGGTACTGGGTGACACTAATAATGGCTGGCACTGTTAATGGATGGCACTGATACTAGATGATAATGGTACTGGTTGGCTCTAGATGACACTGGAAATGGATGATACTGTTTCTACTGTTAATGGTTCCATACTGTTAATGGATGGCATTGATACTGAATGACACTGGTACTGGTAGGCACTGGTACTATGGGACACTGGAACTGTGTGACACTGGTTCTAACTGGTACTGGCTGGTACTGATATTGGAGGACACTGGAGCTGGATGACACTGGTTCTAGCTGGTACTGATGGATGCTGGAACTGGATGACACTGGTTCTAGCTGGCACTGGTACTGATGGATGTTTGAACTGGATGACACTGGTTCTAGCTAGCACTTGTACTGGATGGCACTGGTTCTGGCTCGCTATAGGCAAAGTAGGTTAAGTGCAGACCTTGTAATTTTCCTTTTAACTACCTCCGGGCCGGCCGTAGTAAAAAAAGGGCCGGCCAGGAGCTCTCTCGATCTGAGCGGGCGTCTCTAGACGTCCGCTCAGACACGCCCCCCTTGTGCGCGCCGTCAGACGCGCGCGAGCGGGAAATGGCCGGTATTTAAAAACGGGCAGCGAATAGCTGCATGCGTTTGAATAGAAAACACAATGTTTGACATCATAACCCCTAAAGTGACAGTCAGCACTTCCATTAAGGTTTATATTTAACATTCCCAAGCAGGAAGTGAAGCAACCTTCAACAAAGCTTGCGTGAAGCTCTGCAAATGCTTTGTTAAGCTTCCTATACACACTGCTCTAATACAAACTGGAGGCCTCAGAGGACCATTTTACTATAAGGGCCCATTTACATCTTTGTTAGCAAACATTCTGTCACGCATTGCAATAACGCAGCCTATTCATGTGAATGGGCTGCCTCATGCACTAAAGAAGGTGTAGCATTTTTAGCAGTTCATTATATTAGTGTGTTGGCGCTGTTGCGCTGTGCTGCAACGCACATCTGCCAGCATGGTGCGTTGTGCTACCATGCCATTACAGCAACATAAATCTGGCCTAACTGAATCCCCTGAAAGCCTGTCACTAACAAATGACTCCGCTCCATGTTATAGTGTGCTGCGTTGATGTGCACTGGGTGAAAATGGAACATGCGGTTGCAGCGCACCACAATACATCACAGTGCACGTTAAAGAGCACAAAATAAGGTAAACGAAAAAAACACAACCGCACATCAATCCAATGCATTCACGCATGCTAAGCACAATGCACGTGTGAATCCATGCCGGCATACAGCATGCTGGGAGACTAAGTAAATGAAGAAAAAAAAGAATGATTCTTTGGATTGTAGGTGAGCTGACTGGGCTGTAATAATATTTTCTTGTGAAATGTATGGAATCTAAATTCAGGCCCGTTTAAAGCAGATGTGTTGGGTTGCGGTGAGCAGCCTTGCCCAACATAGTCTCAATGCAAAGACAGGGCAATTTGCCTTGTGTCCTGTGATGTCAGTTTACAGCAGCATGAAAAAAGTAGGACATGCAGCACCTTTTTTTACACTCAGTGACATTTCAATAAAGTTAAAAATAAATGAAAAGGAAAGGTAAACAGTGCAATGTCCTGCTTCGTTCACAGAGCACACCAGAGGCCACGCAGTAGTAAATACTGCTGGTGTAAATGGGCCCTTAGAAGACAACTATGGGTAAGTGTTTTTCACCATAGTTCTCTTGAAGGGTCACAGGAGGACATATACTAGCGTCCTCCCGTGACCCAAAGCTCAGTATATCGCGAGCTACAGCTCGCGGTAGACTGAGACCACCAGAGATCCACCCAGCTGCGTGAGTGACAGCTGGCTCTGCCTATCCAGAGCCAGCTGTACCCCCCCGTCCGTTCCTCCAGTCGTTGCTGGATGTTCGGAGTGGGGAGGGGGGGGGGATACCTGCGGGTAGCGGTGACTGAGGGTCATGACTCTCTGCAGGGAGACGATCGGGAAGTGAGAGAGCGACAGTATGTGTTCGCTCACCTCCCGATCTATTGAGCCGACGTGTGACAGTTTCATTGTCACAGGTCGGCTCGAACTATGAAGATGAGTGATTTTCATCCCCATCTCATAGTTCTCTTTTAAAGTAAAACTTAAGAACATTAACTCTATGTAATTGTCCTAATAACCAATGTCACCAGGAAAGAAATTGAGGGAAAACCGACATTTTAGTTTGCAAAAGAACATGAATAGGGTGAAAATCATTCTATGGGGACACTCGTTCCTGTGACACCTGTCTGAGGCAAGAATTTGCTTACATTGGAAAGATATATTCTCACTTCCTATTGAGTTTATTGAACATGAAGTCAATGGAAATCTAATCAGACACAGATGGCAAAAAATTATTTTAACTCTCCCCAACACCATATAAGTGATCGGGCGGCTCTATAGGTGCCTGAACGGTTGTATGTGACAGTCATCACTGGTTGTAAAAAATCATACCAAGATCATGGCTGCAAACCTTGATATAACCACTTCAGGTTGCCACTGTTTATGTAAGCTGGCTCTGCCTATCCAGAGCCAGCTGTACCCCCCCGTCCGTTCCTCCAGTCGTGGCCCTAAAATAAAGTATTTAGGCCCCTTTAGGTGAGGTTAGAGCATTTGAGTGGGAAGCGGAGACTCAGCATTGTCACATGACCCTGGGGGGAGGAGGGGTGGCTGACAACTAAACATGAAGAGAAGCTTCCCAGTTGACACAGCTCAGCTTCCAGAAAGCAATGAGCACTAGGCCTCATAAGCACACCTTTACCTCAGTGTGGAAGATGGAGCCATTAGGCTGCGCATTTACCTCACAAAATGTTATCAATGAAGCAGGCCAAACAAGAGCTGGCATGGCCATGAGGACAGGGGGCTCTGTGAGGGTCTGCTACACATCATGGCTTGTTATAGGTGCAGCTCATGAGCCATGAAACCTGTACACCTCTCTGTGAATGGGGGAGTTGACATGTTATGGGGAATTGTAGAAGTCAATGGGGGTAGAAGTCAAGTAGTGTGCAGCTAGGAGAAGTCCGCCGCAGAATGTAAACAAACAATGGAGGCCAGCCTGTCAGAACTCTGTCAGGGGAATTTATCAAAACTGGAGCAGACAGATTATGGAGCAGTTGCCCATGGCAACCAATCACAGGTTCAGTTAAGCTTTGAAAATGAAAGAGAGAAGCTGACTGGTTGCCATGGGTAACTGCTCCAGTTTTGATAAATTCCTCTCAGTAAGAATACATCTGTGTACGGAGAAGGGGGAATAGGGGAAGTCACCTTAAAAGGGCCTATAGGATAAGTGCACTTATGCTTTAAAATGCCACACAAATGTCCTCCAGCATTTTATACACAGCAACATTTCATATCTCACAGACCAATGTGCTAAAATGATAGCTGCACTTTCCTCTGACACACAGGCTAAGCTCAGCTGTCATGGAAATCGGTCACACCAATATCAAACCATCTATTGTGTTTATACATTTTATTTTCTGAATGTGAACACCCCATTGTTTGTCTGTGGACTGAACACCGCTTTACTTCCTGAAGGGACAACCTATGCTGCACCTCACAGGGGACAACCTATGCTGAATCCTCTTGGGGCGGGAACAACCCATTCCATACCTTGTGCGGGGCAACCTATGCTAGACAACCTATGTTAGAGCATTTGACCTCAGCAGTGTCACATGACCCCAGTGGAGGCAGACAGCTAAACATGAAGAGAAGCTTCCCAGGTGACAGAGCTTGGTTTCCAGACAGCAGTGAGCGCTAGGCCTCATAAGCACGCCCTCACCTCAGAGTGGAGGGTGGAGACATTAGGCTGTGCATTTACCTCAACAAATGTTCTAAATGAAGCAGGCCAAATAAGAACTGGCACTGCAGGGAGGACAGGGGGCTCTGTGAGGGTCTCCTACACATCATGGCTTGTTATAGGTGCAGCTCATGAGCCATGGAACCTGTACACCTCTCTGTGAATGGGGGAGGGGACATACTATGGGGTATTGTCGAATGAAATGCACACTTATGACCAGAACTCCCAGCTGTCCCTCAGTTGAAGGGACTGTCCCTATTTTGAGATCCCTCTGTCCGTTTCTCCCCCAGTTGTCCCTCTTTTTGGTCTCGTGTATACCTTTATAATAGATGTATTTAACTATCAGAGGTGTTTTCTAGAAATAGGTGTTTTCTAGAAATAATCCTTTCACCCGAACGCTTAATTATTGGGTGTTATTTTGAACAACGGTTATAAAGGAAGCACAAGCAGTTGTTGGTTTAACCACATGCCGTCCGTGGCAATTTCTTTATTTTTGCACACGCATGATAAAATCTGACCGTATGGCTAAAAAACAGCCCTGCAGAATGATACATTTTTTTATGTCGCATATTTGTGCAAACGTTCATCAAACCAGTATTTTTAGGATAAAATATGTTAAAATTAATTTTAGTGCACAGAAACAGAATACAATACCCTGTCACTATATTGCTCTCAAGGCTAGAAGGCTAGTTCACACCACACACAGTGGGTTCCGGGCCGATTCAGTGCCGGAACACACTGGATCGCATCCCAGCCGGCTCACTGCGTTCTGGGGCGTGGCAGTGCAGCTACCGCCCCCCCGCCCCGGCCGCACTGTGATCGGCTGCACCAGAACGTGTGGCACATCAATGCCTGCATTCCGGTCTGGTGCGGTCAGAAAAAATAGTGCATGCAGCATTTTTTCTGACAGCACTGGACTGGGAAAAGCAGGCATTGATGTGCCAGGCATTCCGGTGCGGCCGATCGCACTGCGGCCGGAGGGCGTGGCTGAGGTGCTATTTACTTCAATGCACTGCCACGCCCCATCCCACCCCAGAACACAGTGACCCAGCTGGGATGTGACCCAGTGCGTTCCGGCACCAAATCGGTGTCGTGTGAACTTGCCCTTACTCTGATATTTGCGGGTGATATGTACCATATGTGGCGCAATCATCGTTTTGCACGTGGGCACCCCAATGCGTGTTTGCGTTTGTATGTACGCGTACGGAGTGCTATATGGCCCTCTTTCACATTTCAGAATGTTGGGAGGTATGTACAATCCCTCCCATTCAGGATGGCGTGCTCCATGAGCAAGACCTGAGTCTTAAGAGACCCCGTCAATATATCTTTGAACGTGCTAAAAAAATTGTCAACTCTGGGAAGAGTCAGTTGCATAGCACAGCCCCCCTTCCTCCTTGCACGCCAAAGCCCATTCCTTTTCTGGAAGTGTCTGTGTTTGCAACAAAGCACTCAGGCCCCACCAGTCAGTTCTTGATGCATTGTTTTGTAAAGGTTTATTTAACCCTTTCACTGTCACCGACATATGTCATACGTTCAGCAGCAGCGGGCCCCTGTAAACAGATAGCTGCCGGAACTCTATTTACCTGTGTAAAGCTGACTGTTGGCTTTACACTGGAAGCAATCCGGGGTGGGCTTTAAACCTGCCTGATCGCTGTCAGGGGCCGTTAAACATGTGCACCCTGTCCGACACCTCCTGCCTTGCTTTCTGGGCTCCACTGCCCCTCCCTGGCCCTCCCTTGGGACCAGGACTGGCATCAAAGGGTCCTGGTGCGTAGAGGGGAGAGAGACTAGAGAACATCTGTTTGCTAATCTCCTCCCTGCTGAATGAAACTGAAAGTGACAATGTCATCACTTCCACTTTCTGAGCTGTCATTCCCGGCCAGGGAAGAAGCTGTTCAAGCACAGTCTGTGCTTGAACTCTAATGGGGTGCAAAAGTTATAAGAGGTCTAACAGACCCCTAAAGTCACCTTAAAGAGCACCTGTCACTACTACAGTTCTATTACATAGGAGACTTGTGAGCGCCCCTAAGTGATTGCATTGAAGTTAAGTGAAAAAAAAGTTAAATATAATAAATTTAAAAACACCCTCCAAACATATTAAAAGTCCCTCATCCCCGCGAACACTCGCATACTAACGCAAACACACATAAGGTGTGCCTACATAAGAAGACGATGATTGCACCACACATGTTAGGTATGGCCACATGTGCCAATCATTCCAGGGCCAATATTCACTGTTAACGCTAAACAGATGACCTGTACAGGCTTTTAAAGTGATGCCTATGGACAATTTGGGGTACCGTAGTTTTTTGCCGTTTCTCGCACGTGTACAATTTTTAAGCTTGGCATGTTGGGTATCATTTACTCGGCATAACCTCTTCTTTTATATTTTAGAAAAAAACTGGGTATCATATTGTGTTTTTGTGCACTAAAATTAGCCTAAGTGTATTTTTTTACTGAAATTATGGTTTTGATAAAGAGTTGCAATAATATAATGCGACGTAAACATTTTCAACTGACGCCATTTTATTTTTCAGGGTCTTTGCTTTCAGGAAATATAAAACTCAGGGAGGGTTTCAAGTAATTCTCAGGCCTAAAATGTGGTTTATAAAATGCGTGCAAACAAAATGTAAAAATGGATGTGGCAGCAAAAGGGTTAATAACAGTGATCTCTATCAGTCTCATGTATCATGTCCTTGGTCTCCGACTGTCTCCTACAGCACATCATTCGGTGACATCAGGGGCCACATTTGAGGCCCTCTATACCTTGTAAATTGACAACCTGTGCTATAGTATGTCACTTGAGTGACAGCTCTGAGTCGCCTGGAGCTGCTGATATCACTGGCGTGTTCTGAAAACGAATGTATGTATGCCTGAATATCGTTTTAGTATATTCGGGCATATATTAAATTCATTATTTCAGATTCGTCCGAATCAACTGATTTTCGTTGATTTGCAGGATCGTCCGAATCCGAATGCAAATGTCTATTGTTTAGCAATACATTGAGATGGAGAGCATTGGCAACCCTCAGTCATCTGTTCTGAATGCTGCATTCAGTATTCATATATAAGGTGTTTGGAGATGGATTGCCTAGTATGCAGTATGCTTTTATATCCTGTATATTATTTTATATCTCTTTTTAAAGTGAAATATTTTCTTGTTTAGCAGCCTGTCTTCCAGTACCCATCTTCAGCCAGAAGAAAAAAAATAGGCAGCCACTAACCTCAGTTCCTCCAAAAAATGAAGGCTCTGCTTTCGCTCCAGAAAGTTTTGAATTCTCCTCCATGGCAGCGGGGGATTCAGGTTTGCCATGATGTGTTTTTTCCCTACAAATACTTTATCTTTCAAAATGCTTTACAAAACAAATGTGTCTAATAATTGTTGTCTATATTTTTTTCAAATAGACCCAGACTGAGGCAACCTTATCCTTAAACTATACCTATGCCCTCCTATCCCTTACAGCCAAGGAAGGTGCCATCTTAGCCTCTGTTTGGATAGCAGTTGCCATATTTCTGTACATGTAATCAGTCATTTGAGGGCTTGAAAGTTCAGTTGATAACTGAAATAAGCACACTGGCAACCTTGACAGCTGGCATGCCTCAAAAGTAACTGTTTTGGAAGACATTAAATTGGTGGGTAAGGTTCATCTTTAACTGCTTGCCGTCTGGCCGCTGTAATTAATCGGCAGGACAGCGTGCACTTGAGGGCGGGTCACCATTTTTTAAAAGTCTTTTCCCGCTCCCAATCGCATGTCCAACCCCCCCTCCACACACACACACACAAGCGGGAGAGAGAAAGTTTAGGCATCTTTACAGTAGGCAAGGGCTGGTACAATAGCCTGGCGAGGAAGGGGGTTTAACACCTTGGTCAGCAATTGGTTAAAGTACATGCTCACTTTAAAGTCAAAATTCCCCCCGGCCCCCATCCCTAGCCCATGAATACATAGACACCCTGCAAGTTTGTACTTAGCTCCTTTGATGGCTACTGACCTACTGTAAAGCCTGTAGCTCAACTGGTAACAATTTTGTGCTGTGCTGCCCACACCTATGCACTAATGTCCCGTAGGCCTGAATGAAAAGATGCTCCTGTCATATGTCCAGTTCAAATCAATGGGATGTTGGTGCGCGGGCATACCTGGAGCTAAATTTTTGCCATCTGGGCTGCAGACTTTGCCGAGGGCCTTATCCATCAGGGGGGGTAAATATGGACCCGTGGAAGTGGGTGGAGGATTTGAATTAGCACTGTGTATTCAGCAGGTTAGGGAAGGGTGTTGGGGGAATTTGTTTTTTAAAGTGAACATGCACTTTACAGAAAGTCAGCTGTTAATGTTATAGTGCTTACAGTAGGCATTTTACTGGTGCTCTTTAGTCTAGAAACACTTTGCCATACTTTCCACAAGACAGCCATTATATTCGTGGAGGCCCAGGCTATTCCTTTTTCTAGACCCAGCCTCCATATGAGACCATTTAAACCAGTAATCAGCATTTGGAGGGCATGGGATAGGCACCTAATGATGCTAGAACTCTAACAAGCAACTGTTTAAAGTAATGGAGAGCCCTGAAGCGTATGGGTATTTGTTTGTATGGTGACCATCCTGTCATAGGACAATTTCTCACATACAGGGTATTCTTTCTCTCTCTAAAAAAAACACGGCATTTTAACTAGACAGTCTCTATTTCTAACAAGGCGGTCTCACTGAATAGTTTTTTTCTCTCTCACTCACAAAGAGGGAAAGAGAAGGAAGAGTGACTGTCCTTCTCTTTAACACAGTGGTTCTCAACCCGTGTAACCTTAGGACCCACATTTGTCCTTAGTCATTAAGTCGCGACCCAATTCACACTGCAATGGAATGCACAGAATTAGCGTGCCGCACGTTCCAGTGCGGGCATACGAGTTGTGTGTGGGAGGGGTGTTTGGGTTCAAATGAATGGCAACCCAACACACCTCCCACGCCAGAATGCACGGTAGGTGCGATTGCATAGTACAGTGCGTTAATCACACGGTACTATAGGAATAACAGATTAACGCATTGTACTAGTGTGAACGAGCCCTCAAAAACACTGATATACAGACACAATCTCACACACTCACAGACATTCTTACACACACACATACACACTCCCAAAAATATTTTGGTCCACCCAGACTCCCTACCATACTGGAGCCCTACCCTACCCTCAGCCTGGGGTCCAGTGTGGGCTGCTGTGCTGTGACAGAGTTCCATCCATCCATTGCTTGTACATCTCCCTTGCGCACCCTGTAGAGGTGTCGGGAGCCAGAATGTGACATCACTCCGGTCCAGGCACCTCTATAGGACATATGAGGGAGCTGTGAGCAATGAGCGTATGGATGGAGCTCCCTCGCGGCCATAGCCCCATCCCATCCCACCTCAAGCTGACACTCGGCACCAAGCATCATATTTTGAATGGCTGCATGGCGCGAGAACTAACAGTGTTGCACTAGGGGGAGGCTGAGGACCCTCTCACCTAGAAAAGTGGAAGGCATGCGTCCCCACCAGTTGAGAACCAAGGCTTTAACACATAGAGTACCTTAACACATTCACATTTTAGTTATAAAATAATATTATCTTATAAGTGGACCTCGTGGACATCAATTACAATATGGTAAAATAAATGCAACTTTAGCTTTCAAATAAACTGTAGTCAGCTCACCCTATTTATGCCTTTGGATCCCGGCAAGATTGCATACATCTGCTTACCAATAATATTAAGTGATTCATGTTTCCATTCAGATTCCATGTGGGCAAGCAGAACTTACCAGGCAATCAATGCAGCAAAAAATGTAGACTGTAGGTAAGAACGTTCGCTAATTTATGTTTTCTGTTATATTTTTGCTAGAGGGTGAGGTACAATTGTGGTACAGTGTTCCTACATTTTGTATTGTATACTTTGTAGAAGGTATGGTGTATTAACTTGTCCTCTAAAAAAGATGCTCTTCTTAGGCTGAATTGTTTTTACAACTTGTAAACAATATCACAAGTGCACGACATGGATGTATTGCTGTAGATATGAGAACCCCACTTGTTGGTTTTGTGATTAGCAGTTTGAAATGTAACTCAAAGCACAATTCTTTCTGTATGCAATTGATTTACAATACCTAGGATGTATTTATTTATTAACAATTCATATATCTATAAAATATAATCTTACAAGATCAGTCTTTCTTACCATATTCCCTCCATTGTCCCTGCAGTTGGTCTGACTGTGAGTACCTTTTGCAGGGCCTGCACATTTGCACTAGTCAATATGGTGGATGATAAGTACAGAGGGAACTCCACTATCAGTTCTGGGGCAGCTGGTAGCACTCCTGCCCAAAGGCCTAACACCAACCGCCTGACAGCTGTGCCCTGCAAGAGTCCTCATGCTTATTGGAGTCTAAAGCTGCCCATACACCTTACAATTATCTGCAGATTTTCTGGGGTCAGATGGAAAAAGTACAACAGATTGGCGCAGGTGGAGATTACTCCATCCACACAGTTTAGTGTAGATGGAGGAATCTGTTCCACCTTTTCCATCTGACCCCAGAAAATCTGCAGATAATTGTAAGGTGTATGGCCAGCTTTTCTCCCTCAAGTGATGATGGAAACATTGATCTATATCTGAGTTGTGGCATGCAGCTTGTTGGTTTTATGCATAGCAATATAACACAATTTTATGATGCGATTGATTTAACATACCTTGGAATTATTTATTAACAACTCCTATATCTGTAAAGTATCATTTAAAACTGGTCTTACTTACAAGTTCACATTTGTCATTTTGACTGAAGCGGCCTTACTTTCATTAAAGCAGAACTCCAAGATGTGCAAAAATAGTGTGGGGCTACCCCTGCACTGCAAAGGTTAACTGCTTATTTTGCTCTAGGGGATGGATTGAAGATGATATACTTACTTGATCCTTGACCCCGCCTGACTGCTAGACTGGTCCCTGCAGCATCTTCTCACCCGGCCTCCATCGGTCTAAGGACCCATGACCTCATCACGTCTAATGCAAGGTTCATTTGCTTGCATTAGATGTGAGGACTCAGAGGGACATAACATAGCCGGAGCGGAGGGGGAGAGAGCTGCGCACTGACTGCCGCAGGACAGAGGATCGGGTCAGTATATTTTTTTAATCCAGCCCCTAGACCAAAAGGAGCAGTTAACCCATGCAGTGCGGGGGTTAATTTTTGCACATTCTGGTGTTCTGCTTTAAATAAATATTGTGTCAGGTGTTTTCCATATCTTTCACCAGGGGACACAGGGTTAATTCTGAGACAAGAGGGTTAGACTGCTGCCTGCAGGATACTGGACACTAACAACAAAGCTGTTAGCCAGCCAGATACAACCCCTTCCACTCCCATCAAACCTCTTTTTTTTGCTAGTGTCTTAAGAGAAGCTAAACCCTTTCTAGAAAACGTACTGTATTCTACTTCTATCAATGTCCCCTCTATTGTTCTGCAATAAAGACCCTTCATTTTCTGCAGGGTCAGAGAGCTCATTTATGCAGATTTCCAGAATGGCTGACCATAGGCATAGCCTTGGAGGCTGTACCGTCCCTATCATACGGAAGATGCGGAGCCAGTCTGTAATGTGACCCTAGGGCACTGGTCTCTGCTGTAGGGCACCGTCTAAGTGTACTGCATTAGACAGAGTGCTTTACAGGACCAGAGCTGCAGTAAGCATGCTGGTAGAACCCTGCCAACCAGAGAGGGCAAAGACTGTCTTGATTGGGCATCCATCCTAGCTTGTTTGATGAGTTATTGCCTCCTCAATGCATACTGTCATCGTGTCGCGATGAGGAAGGGAACATGTGCAGTTCCAAAACATTGGCTATATGACCTATGTGACATAATAAAACACTTCAATTCATTGAAATCTGTATGGAATGCTGGTGCCATTTCTTCCTTGTAACCAGCCCAAGGATATGTTTAGGGACCCAGGATCCATCCTTAATGATCCCTCTGTTTCACAGCATTTTAAACTTTTGCCTGTAGCCTTGCACTACTGTGTTAATGAGCTTCCAGATATCATATGCATGATATCTACAATGGGTCTCCTAACTATACATATGCAGAGAAGCTTTCACTTCTCCCAGTCCTCTAGGCCCACGTTCATGCTTGAGACCCAGTTCCACCCCAAGCCTTGGACTTTTAAAGCCTCCAAGCCCGCAAACAACTCCCCCTGCAAGTAGGATGAATTCTGTTTGAATTAGCAACCATCTGCTCCGAAAGCATCTCAGACTCCTGTGTAATAAAGGATGTAAGGTCCAGGGGCTACCAGCTATCATTTCAAGCTCTCACTACACCCTGCCTCATGTTCTGCAGCCTGCCAACATTCCGGCAAAGACTAGCAGATCTCAACACTGCGACGCTGCTTTTGCACAGCTCCTCTCTAAGGGATTAATTGCCTTTGTTCCGGAGAAAAAAAGGTTTCAGGGCTTCTACTGAAACCTATTAATTGTTCCCAAAGAAAAGGGAACAGTCGCTCAATACTGGACTTAAAGGCTTTCAATGTCTTCAATCAAGCACAAGAATTCTGCATGGAACCTATCAGGTCAGTCATTGTTTCCTTCCATCTGGGGTATCTTCTAGCCCCTGTGGATATTAAGGATGTCTACTTGCATATCTCTATCTTTCCAGAGCATCAACATTACCTGCATTCTATGGTGGGCAAGTAACACTACAAAAAAGAAGATTTGATTCTGGGAGATCCGAGTGTATATTGCACCTATTATTGGTCTGTCAAACCAGATTTATAACCGATAACGTAACTACAAAAAAATGGATTGGATTCGCTATAGAGAATAGCGCATCAAAAAGAAGTTCATTGCCCTGCCCTTTTTTTTTTGCATAGGAGCCAGTAAAGCTTGACAACTGCAATCGGTGAATCAGTGGATTGTGGGCGCAGTGCTCTGGCTCCTGTAGATTCTCCCATTTGTCACTTCAGGCTGGTACGGCTGAAATCAGCCGTACATTGGGTGGCTTATAAATAGAAACCGAGTGTGCTGAGCTAGCGGCGACAGCTAGCTCCGCCCAACTGTTTTCTATTGGCCGGCGGTTCTGCTGCCGTCAAAAGAAAACAAAAAACATTTTCGCCATAGGAATGCATTGCTAGATTCCTATTGGCTATTTCAATTTGCAATAGCCAATAGCAAACTAGCTCTCGCACCCGCCCTCTGCTGCTGTCAATCACTAGAGGGGACCTGATGGAGAACTGCAGATCCCCTCTGCTGATTGACAGCAGGATAGGGCGGGTGCAATAGCTAGTTTGCTATTGGCTGTTGCAAATTGAAATAGCCAATAGGAATCTAGCAAGGCATTACTATGGTAAAATATTTTTTTTTTATTCTGACGCCAGCCAACGGCTCTGTGTCAGAATAAAAAAGAAAAAGCAGTGTTTCTCTCCTGTGCGGCCGGGAGCGACCCCTCGGCTCAGTCGAGCCAAAGCATATGTCTTCGGCTCGACTGAGCCGCCCGGCCGACTTCGGGAGCTGTACGGGCTATAGGGAATCCTGTAGGGGTCCTAGGGCCGAAGCTAGCCGAAGGATCAGCCGAAGCTACGGCTAGATCCTTCGGGGGCTTAGTGAATAGACCCCTTAGCCTTTGAGGAGATATATAGTAAACAAAGAATCCATCCACACTCCATTCCATGCTGAATCAGTTAATTGGTTGATTGAGCGGTGCTTTATTCCTATGCCTTAACCTTCCAGGACTTTTGCTGTCAAGGTGCGTGGCACAAGATCAGTTAGTGCCTCTTGGGCTTCTCAGCATCAGGCATCAGTTTCTCATATTTGCAAGGTTCACCTGGTCTTCTGATCACATGTTCATTAATTCTACCAGGTGGATGTTCAGGCCTCCTTTGATGCCAGCTTCGGACATAAGGTCCTTCAGGCAGCTATTTGAGCTGCAAGCTAAACCAGGTGTGCACTGTTGTTTTGGAGGGCTTGTTAGCATTTACTGTGCTGCCTACCCCTCAGTTGGAATGCTTTTGGATGTCCCTCTTATCTCAGAATGAATTCTGTGTGAACTCTAAGAAAATTGTTTTATGGTAAGTACAAAAATCCTGTCTTTTTTACTGACCTAATAATGTCCTCTACTCCACAATGATGATGGTGGCCAGATCTCTATATTGTTTGTACGTGTAGCTTAAGAGGTTCCACGTCCTGTGCAGCATGTCTCTTCCAACCAACAGTACAAGCTCAATGCATCTGTCATGTAAGTATAATTAGTTTTTTTTTATATGTAAAAGAACACTAGACTACGTTCTAGATGATCTCAAAAATGCATTGTACTGTTGGTGTTAAGGTGGAACTTCTGGAAAATACACAGTTTAATTACATACATGTTAACTAGTCAAAGGATTTGTCATTTTTTTTATCTGCACCAAAAACACATACACAGTAGTTCCAATGTATTCTGACTCCGATTGTTGTATTAGCGATGTATCCCTTGCTGAGACCTCTATGCCTGGCCTGTATAAGCAGATATAATCACTGCAGACAATCCTTATCAGAAAGCTGAACTCACCAAATACATTTCCACAAAGTTCTTCATTCCGTGCAGCAGACACCAGGATACAGCAGATGAAAGAATAGATGGCATTTGAAGGTCAAGGATGATAATGTTTCCAGGCTAGCATGTGCATGTGGTCCTGTTACAAGTAGTCATGACACTAAAACGACTGCTGGACAAGAAGGGAAGTACATTACACACAAGAAGAAACACATCATAGATAGTAGGGAACACAGAAAATATAATGCAATAATCAGAATGACTACAAGATGTCAGCACATGAACCAGTTACAATGCTGCTCACAACATATGGCTTAAAGAAAATGAACTATATAAATTCTCATTTCACATTAATGTGACTATTAACCATGACTATGAATTGTCATATTTTATACAACTATTGTGGCAGCACACAATAGTTGTAAATTAGGTTAGTTCACATCATTGCATTCAGTTCCAGAGCTTTTAAAATAGTAGGATGCTTTTTTTGCACTGGAACAAATAAAAATGCATGTAAACATACTTAAACCTAAGCAAAACCAATTTTGTGTTTTTTTTAGAAAATTAAAAAAGCATCAAAAACGTAACAAATGTCCATAAATGCGTATGCGGAAATGCATGGAGAACAGGTCCAGAGATGGTGTAAACAAGCCCCATATATATATATATATATGTGTGTGTGTGAACTCTGAAAATGTAAAATATATTACAAATAAAAATGTTTCTGGCTCAACTGTGTGGAGTCTTATATAGTCCTTTTTTATGAAATACTTCCAGAATAAATGACATCCTAATAGCCAAAGAAGTCTAGTTTTCACCATGGGTATAATGTAGACAAATGCAGAAATTTAGATTAGAATGTGGGTGCTATATCCTGAAATCCAGCATTTCAGAGTGGAGATACTCCCATTGCCCAATTGATGAAACCCCAATTGTCTGCCATTGCTTAAAAAAAAGTATGTATTTTGCAATAATCCTGGTATCTCATGCCTGAAGCAGCCTACAAAGCTTCCTATCACAGCCTAAGCTCAGGGAGTTGTAGCAGGCAAAGCTTGGTCCATCCTACCTCCTGCACATACAGTATATTTGGTCAATAAGGCTGCCTATCATAGTGACAGGCCAATAGATGTTTGTGGGAAAGCATCAGAGCTCCACTACTATTTCTGCCTTTGGACGTGACAGAAAGATTTAAGAGGCTGCTGTAGAGGTATGTACACCTCTTGGTACTAAACATTATACCTCCATCAGTGTGCCCCCTTTCCCCATAGTTTGTCTTCTGTATAGGATATGAGTGTGTGACTGATCCAATCTAAAAAAAAGTTATTTTTGAATATGTGATAATCTTTCTTTTCTAGAAGCAATGTTGTATTCATGCGGCAGTTTTAAACTATGTGGATGTACTTTTTTTAAAGGTTTGCGATAGCATAATTCTGTTGTTGGATATCAGATTATTTATATATTTTAATACATTTACAGGTCCAGCTTTTGGTTTGGAGAGGAAAATGCTTTACAAACCTCCACTATAGATTTGAATTCTTACCCTAAAAGACACTATGGACAAATTCATATGGTAGAAAGTTCAAAGGGACAGCTCAATAATCATAACTATGCTCCAGTAGTTCATCCTCCACTACAGCTTTCAAAACAGACATCCACATCATCATCAAAGAGATCACAGTACTCTTTTGCTGCATCATCTGGATCAAAGGATTTCAAGCTTCCATATACCTTTAAAAATGTTAAAATGAAAAAAGATGATGCGTTTGATGACATGCCTGAGGAAGAAATGGTGCAGGTACTGAAATATTCTGCTGTAACTAAAGTTTCATTGTTTGGTATGTGTGGTCTGCTTCGATCAGCTTATTGGCTGTGCATTTTGAGTCCATGGAAACCACTTTCTGGTCCACTCATGGTATATTTACACAGCCAGACTGGTTCCCATTTACACAATAACGTTAGGACATAAGATAATTTAGAAGAAACTATTAAAGCTGTCTGGGTTCATGAGTATTCACATCCTTGCCTCACTCTGGGTCCATTGTTTACCACTAACTGGTGCAACATGTTTTTTGGAGATATTAAGAGGACAGTCCCACTGCAGCAGAGGTTAACCTTGTTCCATGCTCCGCTACAACTTACCGGTATTATTATACAAGATTTATATAGCACCAGAAGGATCCAAGGCCTGTACTGTCCTCATCAGCAGCTTCTATATTTTTGCTGACTAAGCCTGAAACCCCTACACTGTCTACTAGGCTTCTTATTTCCAATTCTAATTCTTTTATTTTTTTTCCAGTTTGTGCAAAATTAATGGAAAATTCATACATTCCAAGGACACTGGTGAAACCTGGTTCCAACCCTACTGGGTTCTCCCAGAGAACCTGTAACGCCAATCACAATCTCTGACTCTGATTTAAAGGCCTTATAGTTTGCTTCTTTTGAGACCAGAGTTCTGATGATGCTGATATGCATAGTGTTGTTTACAATCTAATTGATGCAGTACGCTCTGCTATGTGTTTAAATGATAAACCTGTTGTATCTGGTACCAGGTCAGTCAGGTTTCTGAATGACATTCATATAAAGAGCCAACATCTGAAAGATTCCATTCCTACTCAGGTTTCTGCACATACTTTATCTTTTTTCCCTCATTCTTGGATCTGCTTCTATGGATCAGTCTGCTTCTCAAGCAGTAATGGGATATCTGTAGCTTATAGTCTTTATACTGACTCTCTTTGCACTTTAATAATGTCCTTTTTACCCATAGGTAATTGTTTACTACTTTGCTCACAAAGTGATCTCTGCCTCCTTATGCTAGACAGCATTGGCGGTCTCTATGCATGACTGAAATCCTTGTTACTGGATCCCTATATTTGTATATTCCTTTTATACAAAGTTTTGTTCAAGAATCCAGGCTTTTTTCCCTCACCACAGGGAGGTGCTGGTGGTGCCACTTGTCTGTCATGCTGTCACGTATTTTTTTCCTTCTTAGTAGCAGTTTGCATAGTTGCTACCTCTATTTCGCTATCCTCCATTAAGGGACACAGCTCTGAAGAATTCTGAGACATAGGGGGTGATTTACTAACCTAAACACACGCACACACTAGGTGCGTGTGATTTTTACACAGCAAAGCGTATTTATCAACCAAAAAGTCTCTAAAAGCATATTTCCACTAATGCCATATATGGAAAAATCATGCACATGATGCATATATAATGCTGCTTCACAGTTTAGACAAAAATGGTTAGCTCATGCATTTACATTCCTGCATTCATCAACGCAAGCAACACAATGTAGAGCTAATTTACACAACATCACCTTGCAATTCATGCTTGGCTTTGCACAAAACACCTGCTGGGTGTGTACACACTACAAAGGTGTCTAGATTCCACCAATAGATCATGCTGGGAGGGAACACACTACAGAGGTGTATACTTGTTCGTGGCATGTTTATAAGGTTAGTAAATCAACCCCTCAGGGTTATGGATTTTATGGTAAAGAATGGTAAGAACAAAATCCTAAATTTCCACAATTTCCTAAGCAATTTATAGGACCACAAAATATGTATTTGCAAATAATTTCTCCTTCAGCTTTTTAAAAATCATTTTGGCATCACATCTGCTTCCTTCGCTATTTGGAATTCACAATCAAAATATATTACCACAATACTCTATGTGCTAAGCATGTCCCTGGCAGAATGCTTAATGTAGTTAATGATTTAGCTCCCTTTACAGATGCATATTATACTTCACATTCCCAGAATGCAGCAAAGGGGACTGCAGCAAAATCAGCACAGACAGAAATTCACCAGTAATGTACTTACAATTGGCACCATACAAGACCATACACCATTCAAGTAATGACCTTATGTGGGATGGAGAAAGTATGAGTAACTCGTGTTTTGTGCACATTTCCACAATATATATGTTGTATGACTAATTTGTGTTCATGTTTTTTTTGTTGGAGTGCACATTACCTTTTGCTCTGTTAGTAAAACTGCAATAGTAGGAAGTGACATTATAAGCAATTGCCTTTTTAGGTTGAATTTTTTACTCTGTAACGCTCCACACTGAGAGGAAGTGTCGTCGTGTTAGAGTTTATATCACTGTATGATGCATATTCTATATGACTTTCTGATTTTAACAGATTCTATAATAATAATAACTTTCTTTTAAAAGGCTATACCTCTTTATCAAATTACTTTAAAAGAAAAACGTAATACTTTAAGAATCATAACTGCGTCAGTTGAAAGCATGAAGCACTGGAGTCAGTACACCGACCAAACTCCACTACTATTTGAGCTATTAGGTATGATTAGCAATAGAATATAACCAATAAAACATTTATGCTTGTAAAATCTAAGCCTAAACTATATTAAATATTTGAAAACGTTGTTTAAACATGTTACCTTCCTTTATTATAATTAACTCAGATTCATCTCCTTTGTGTGTATAATTACTAGAAATAAACCTTGACACTTACAATCCAGAAATAAGTGGGAAGAGGTATTCGGGTGCCCAGTTGTGGAATTATTTAATGTGGCTAGATTTAAGATAAGGCGGCTAGATCCACAGTGGGGGAAGACCACTTTTTACCAAAGTCCAATTCAAACAAATAGAAGGCTAAGAAGCGCTTGGGGGAGCCAACATGTTGTCAGTGTTTTCAATTTACATAGAGGAAGACTTGGAACAGCGGGTGTACCAGAAAGATCTTTGTGGACTTAGGGACTTTAATGGACCTAATACTGGAAATAGCACTGATAGTAGTGACAGGCTGATCCTTGAAATATTTTATTTGTTTTGGAAAAGTAACCAGAAACATGCTCTTGTTTTTGCTAGCCGTACTTGATTCTGCTGTCACATCTGGAAGTCATGGATCAAAATCATTCATTTTGAGGGATGGAAAAAACCATGTTTCGTGTGTATTTTATGAAATTGTAAGTAACATTAATCAATCAGAAACATTATCAATTTATGAGTGTTTTGTCTACTTGAAATGAGAAAAAATAATCATTTTGCAATGCTTTATCTCATAATGTTAATTAAAGGAAGCAGACTCTTAGACATTAGCAATGTACATTTCTTAAAGCAACACTAAACTCAGAAATGAAATAATAAAAATAACTTCTATTACAGAAATAATCAATGACTGTGTACCTTTTTTTGTCATTGTTCAGCTCTAAATGGTCCAAAATCTGTTTTATTTCTCTCCATCCACAACTTCCTGGCAGAGGGTGGCTACTTTTCTTCTCCATGGTCCCTATGGGAGCTGAAAAGTAGCCACCCTCTATGCTGGTTCATGTGAAGGACTACAACATGCTGGGGGCATGTTTTCTGAGTCTCCTCCCACAAATCCTCCCCTCTAGACTCTGCAAGGAGCTGGGATTTCTTAGGCTCTCCCACACTAATATATGAGCTTTGATTTCTCTCCTCCTGGCTTACCAAGGAGGGAGTGTGGGGGCAGCTGCTTGTGAGGAGATTCAGCATGTGAGCTGTCACCAGCCTCATACTTTCTTCTGAGTCTCAGCTCACACGCTGAATCTGGTCACACAGTCACAGATGATACGGCTCCTACATATGAAATAAAGTTGTTTTTCTGTGTAAATTGTTGTAAAGTTGATTGTTTGTTGTAGATTTATTGTGAAGCTGTTGTAAGTAGTTTTGATAATTCAGAGCATTGCAGAGGAGTTGTAGGCAAAGAAAGATGTGCACATGTCCAGAATCAACATGCACAGTTCTTTCTAAGTGAGAGGAAGTGTGAATGGAGAGAAGAGTCACGGGAGCGAGCACAGCAGACTTTTTAAAGGGATTCAAATAGTAAGACATTATTTTAAAACATAAATAAATGTGGCTTTGGAGAATGTTCATTGTGTAGATGTGTATAAGGAGAAAAAAGCTGAGGGTTTTGTGCTGCTTTAAGTTAACCTACAGCAGACATTGGCAATTGAACACATGATAAAAAAACATGCGTAAGCAAGGGTGAAAACTCTATGTCATTCTAGCGCTACTTTTGAATTACAAAAGTGAAGTGAAATTGTTTGCTTGAAAAAGTTCCTATTTCTGTATGTTTGGATGCTAACAGTAAACACATCTTTACTTCACTTTAGTAAGTAATGAGTTAAACCAGCCTTTTCCAGGGCTCCATTAGCGGTCAATGGGCTCTGGGACTCCATGAGAGATCATGAAAACTAACATAAACCATTTGGGTGGATTGGTCTCCTAACAGGGACTGCATACGTCCAGCTCCCCCACTTGCCAGAGCCAACATTTCATGACCATGGATAGTCTCCTTCTGTCTCTTCTGAATAACCATGGACACCAATAATATTTTTATCTGTGTGTACGCGGCCATTTTTCCCATTTATCATCATTGTGAGGAGGATTTTTCCAACTGATCATCAACTGAAAAAGTATTCTTACTAGTTAATGTAATGGGATATTATTTTCATTGACACCCAATGTAAAGGGTATTCTTCTACTCACCACCAATGTAAGGGACATTATTCCTCTACTGGCCACTAACATGTTCACATTCTGCATTTCATTTTTGGACATTATACTGCTGAATATGAATGCAGTCTGAGCCTATGAAACCTATGAATAAAAAATGATCAGCTCCAGGTATCAAACATACAGCGTATGCTACGGGGTATAATTTATGTGCGGGATTTCCTGAAAATATTTTGAGGGTTTCTTCAGGGTAGAAAGTTTGAGAAAGGCTAAATTAAATACTTAAAGTAAAGTAAAAAGTAGTGGGAAATAACATAGTGCTTGCCAAAAACAATCTATAGTAATTATACAACCTCCCAAACCAGAATTTTAGTATATTGTAGATACTGAAGAGTCTTTCGCTCACCTTTTTCCTCTCTGAGACTCCAGTGGTGGGATTTCACTTATTTGTCTTGCTCACCTTGGGAGTTTTTGCCCTGATGAATTCTCCATATTATGAAATAATTTTAAAAAATCTAACATGGAGAGTGAGATTGCCTTGTATTAGGAATGTCCAGTGAACAGAACTGGGAACTCAAGAGAACAGATGTCTTTTCACAGATAACTGAAACTATCAGGTATTTTATTACATACTTGCCGGTGTGAACTAAAAGCCTTAATATAATATTGAACAAAACTGTTTAAAACAGCATCTTTTTACCTTGTGTCTTCATCGGTCGCTCTCAGTAGGCTTTCTAAGTTGATATCATTTATTGTAATATTGTATAAGCTGCACTTGGATATAAAAGCATGTATTTTGTTGTTTACTAGCTTGAGTGTGTTTTTTCTTAGGACCGAGATTTACCAAGACTAATAAGAGGTCGAGTTCATCGAGTCATGGGGAATTATGATAAAGAAAGAACCGTGCTAAAGTGTGTTTCTGTGAGGCCGGCATCAACCGCAGAACAACAAACCTTTACAGAGTTTGTCACTGCTTCCAGTAATGAGATGGAACAATACATTAAGACAATCAATAACATGTAAACTTCATTTGGATATGTTTATCCTAAAAACTTAATTTGAATATGTTTATCCTGAAAGTTAATGGAATATGTGAGTTGAAAATAACTCTTTACTTTGTCTGTAAAAAATATTACGTTACATTGATATGTCATATCACAAGGGCCAGATGTGTATGTATTGTACACTCTTTAGTAATACTTTATTAACAGCATAATGACAGTTTTTGGAAAAATAAAAATTACATTCCATTATATGAGCTTTGCTGCTTTTAAATCTATATCATTATTTCCTGTGTATTTATAATATCTGTATGATCTGCATTAGAATTTTTATATGATTTTTTTAATTTAAACATTTTAACTTTTCTGCATAAAGTAGAACTGATTTACAAAACTGGAGAAAAGTGTTTCCTCAACCAGTGAGTTACCAATTTCTATCTTTCCAGTGTATGCTAACGTTAGTGAATTGGTGAATTGAGAGCTAATCCTTTTAGTGAATGCAATGGACAACATGTCTCTGTTTAGCCATTACACAGAATGTGATAAATACAGTGGGGGGGATTTATCAAAACTAGAGCAAACAGAATCTGGAGCAGTTGTCCATGGCAACCAATCAGCATCTTTCTTCAGTTTGCTCAGGTAAGATTTGAAAAAGAGAGAGAGAAGCTGATTGGCTGCAGTGCAAATTTGCTCCAGATTTTGTCTGCTCCAGTTTTGAGAAATACCCCCCAGTATATGTAAATATATTTTTTGAAACCCTGGATCCTCGTATTTATTTTGCTTGTTCTGCCCTGTCCATAGCTTCAGTAACTTTTCCTCTCCTGGCTGTATGTCTTCTGCCTGGCAGTCTTTATCTCCATCCATTCCCACTTGTGCATTGTGTTGTACTATAACTGTGTTTATATTACCCTTTAATTTCCTGTGAGCATCTGCTGCAACATGTTCAGACCTTCTTTACAGTTTGAGTCTGCAGTCCTAGCTACAC